TAGCCTTTCAAATGTAGCCCAGTTTGTTACTTGCTGCCCATAAGTCAGCATTCAAACATATCTCTTTCTTTCTTTATAGATGAACATAGGAAAAGAAAAGTCATTCTGGGACAAGATAGACACCAAGGACTTGATTAAAAAAAGACATTTAGTTTTAGACTTTTAAAATAAACTGTTTACAACCTGTGTAAAGGAATATAAGAATGTGTGGGTAGGGTAACGGCTATCAACATGGAAAGTGGACTTGTTGAACTCAGTTTAAATTCTCTCTTAGTCTGTTGTATTCACTTTCACACTAATTCTATTCTAGTCTGTTGCATTCATTTTCTCATTAATATCCCCGAGAAAGGCAGGAATTCATCTCTTCTCCTTCCAGCTATGGATTAAATAGCAGTGTAGACTGGGTTTCTAGCCTTGAATGACAACCAATCTAAGAAAAAGATTACTCTGAATACAAAACCATAGAGAAGGAAATGAGGAAGCTACCCCATTTTGTATGTCCCAAGAAGTTGCAGTAATTCATGGATAATAAAGAAAAGCAATCTGTGGAGAGGTACACAGCATTGTATTTGAATTTAAAAAGGGAGATAACCATGATTATTCCTTTTAACAAACTTTAGAAAATGCTGTTAAAAGAATAAGAAATAACTGTTAATCAATATAAACCTTGTGAAAATGACTATAGTGATGAACACTGCAATTAGTTCTATATGAATGAAGTTTAAAGTATTGTTAGTAAAGCAATAACACTCAGTGACAACATGTAGGAAGTTTTTTATTTTCAATGATGTTCACCCTGTACCCAAGGGCTACTTGAGCTTGAGGGTTACAGAGTTAGAAGCACAGCTTATGTAGATATGTTTGGAAGATAATAATTAATCTTAATTTGAACAGGTTAAGATTGTACTGATTGGTGAAGCAAGATCTTGGGAATTGGTAGTGGTTCATGGGGAAAAAAAACTCCTTGAGTGGAACTTGAGATTTAGGATTACTAAAAAAAAAAAATGGAATGATAGCAAACAGGATGGGATTATTATTTTTAATAATAATAATAATTAATATTAATAATAATAGTTTTATTCAATGACTAAATCTATCATGGCTTTATAGGGCATGTAAAAACTTATGTTCCTTACCTCTGATCATTTGACAATGGTGGAAAATAGTGCGTGGATTTGGGCCTGTTTAGCAAATTTTGTACAATGTATTTGGCTTGGATAGCCAAAGGATGAGCCATGATGTCAGCAAAAGAAGTGCTTGGAAAAAGATATGCAAGGAGAGGGATTATCTGCTTGTTTGTTGGGATCAGTTGCATACCAATCATAAGATCGCACCTTGCACAATTCAATTTCTGTTAAATAAAAGTAAATAAACATAGCAATTACTGTGACATTTCAAAGAAATCTGAAATTTTATCTCCTCTTTGAAGTTATTCATTGCAGCAAACATGCCAGAAAGGTAATTCTATTTTTAGATAGAATCAGGCTTTTCATTCAGTTAAGAGTTGAAGGCATAAAATTTTGGTGAGCGTCTTATAATTTTATTTTCAAGTTTTCCTGACTAAACCTTTAAAAAGTTATCTTTTTAATTACAAATTAATTTTTTTTATAATCACTTAAACTTAAGTACTTGCCTCAATGGTTTTGCTGTTTGGAAGATGATTTTATTTGCTAGTGAATTACTGAATCATTGGATAAATAGATATAAAATATAAAATGTACACTTGTTGAACATATAAAATGGACACTTGTTGAATTTGGGTTGAAGAGTGTGCATTAATATTATTAGGAAAGGCATGAAGCCACTTCTTTTTTTTTTATCTCTCACCCATCATCAAATATCATGAGAAGTGTTGAATTATTGGCATACTCAGCATTCTTCCATAGAGGCACATCTTTGTTTCCTCTTCATCTGTGTGGAAATTGTCCAGTGTTCACTGCCATATAGGAGGATTGATATTACCCATTTCTAATGAAATTTTCCTGTTACTTAATATTTTGTTTAGTTTTCAAAGGCATGTTTCACTATTCTAATGCACCTTTGGATTTCTGTGTCACATTTTCTATTGTTTGTTAGAACACTTCCCAGACAGTTGCCTCAGAGTTCCTGTAGCATTTTTCTGTGTGGCATCAAAAACAGTGTCATCTGTATATCTTATTTTGATAAGATTGTACTCACCAATAATAAATCCTGGTAGGAGTTTTAGTTCTCTTTGAATAAATGTAAAGGTTAAATAAATCTGGTGAGAAGATGAATTCTAGTCTTACATCCCTTTCTATTTTTGTGTACTTGCTCAATACATTTTCAGTCCATATACAGTTGTTTTGTTACATGTAAATGTTTCAGATTATTCTAATATCTTTCCCAAATAAATTGAGTTTTCCTAGCAGTTCAAATAGTTCTTTGGGTTGAATCAACATACTGATTTTATACAAACAATTATTGCAGTATAGTATTTTTCTAATATACTGTTATTATGTGTGGGTCTGGAAAGACAACACTTAACTCAGCAGAGTTAGTTGTGATAGTAGTATTCAGTACTCAGCTACTAGACAAGTCACTGCAATAGTATTATCTTCTTCCTCTTAGACAATTACCAAAGACTACTTATCATGAATGGATCATTCCATTCAGGATAGTAAGGAGGGTAACTGGCTCTTACTACAATATATACTTTGTTATATAAAAGAAATTAAAATATACTAATTTTAAAATTGAAAGACTTAGAATGTTTTCATAATGCAATTTCATTTATTGAATTAAATCTTTCTCTTTAAAACTTGAATGATTATTAAGTCCTATTCAAAATTTTTGCTAACTCTTTCTCAATCAAGTGTCTTAAGATTTTACTCAAGAATTACTTTTCATGGTTTGAACTGTGGTGATAACTCACCTGTAACATCTGAAAACATTTACATCTGGTGATGTAATATTGTCCCGTTGTTGGAGCATGCTCAATAGCCAAAGTTAAAGTCTTGAGGGCATCCTGAAATACAGAAAGACCTCAATGTTTACAAGACATTAAAATGACCTTTTAAAGAATCTTTAATAAATTTGTTTCAATAAAGAAAACTGGTATTGGTTTTTATTTTTAGATCAGATTTGAAAATGCCAAAATATAGTAAAATAATTGAAATAAATAAAATAAAAATAATTTCAAGCAACATTGACATAATATTTTTAATTATAGAATAAAAATAAAACATGGAAGAAATGAAATAGTTATAATAAAGTTAAAAAAAAGAGTATTTTAACTCATTGTTCACCCAACAGAAGGCCCAAGAAACACTCAAGTTAGAGGGTTACAGAATGTGGTTGTATGAGTGTAAGAAGAGGTGGAAATGTAAGAAGAGCAGATCCTAAGGTCATGTAGGAAAGATAACAGTTGATCCTAGACTTGAATAGGTTAAGATAGTAGTAATTAGGGAAGCATCCTCTCGGGAGTCTGTTCAACAATGTACTCTGAAAAAAAGATTTAAGGTGAGAAAGATTTCTAAAATTTTACTTTATAACTAGTGTACATGTGCTGTTAAAAATGACAGCAAGTGTTAGAAAGTTTTAATAGAGAGATGCAATGAAACAAAAGTCTTGAAATAATGTATTGAGATTCAATAAAGCAGAGATAAAAAAATTCACAAAATAGCGCCAATGAACTGTTTAATTAATCCATTCCCTTTATATTTTTTAGATGTTCAGTGGTATCTATAATTCATCAATTACTCCTGGTATTAAATAAATCAATTTTTGCTCAATATCTTTCCATATTAAAAAATTTATATGTTTAATATAACCGTGAAATGGAAATATCTCTCAGAAGAAAAAGATTAGTAACAGAACAACAAAGACGGGGATGACAAAGCCTATTTCAAGACCAAATTGAAGCAAGATGATCACTTAATAGACAAAGGTAAGTGAGTGCCTCACATGAAAAGTGTTATGGAGTTGTTTCACAGTGGAGGCTTGTATTTGTACTAAGTCGGTCCTAAAATAGGTTCGACGTACAAAACGTTAGGAACGTGATATAATAGGTAATGACGCAGAGAAATCTAGTTGTGGTCGCTGATACTTTAGTATCCGACTAACAGTTGTCCGGCATCAACTGACTGACTGAACCACTGAGCGACTCCCTCATTACTCTTACTACTACTACTTATTATAGGTGGGAGAGTCTATTAACTATAGAATAGGTGTGTTCCACTATAACAAAAGGCGTAACCAAATAAGACTGCAGTGTAGGAGTGAAGGAAATGATTAATTAAACAGTTTATTTTGCTTGGGAACTAATTTTATCTAAATGCAAATAACTATTTTATTTGTATAGATTATTAAAATGACTAAAGGAAGCTTAAATATACTAACCTAAGTTGATTTACCTCCCTTCCCACTACAAATGAGACAGGAAATATATAAATAAATACATAGGAAATATATAAATAAATTATTAGAAGACATAAGAGAATACTCTTAGGTATCTAATAGATGGGGTGGGGAATTTATTTAAAACCACACTGTTTATTAATTCCACACTATTTGAGCCTTTAAATAATCCCTGTTATTAGGACACCCTGTTTATTGCATACTGTGAAAAATTCTGACCCCCTCCCCAATTACTGAGACTCATTTGTATCTGGAGTAAGTAGGTAAAAAAGATACTTCTTTACTTCCTGTATGAAATCTACAAGAAACATTGGTTTAGTTTGGTTTGTTTTATGGAATATCAACCTGTATGGGTTATTGTTATGGTAATTTATCCATGCACACCTGGACTCTCCCAGCTATAAATAGGAGCAGGTACTGCCTTTTGGAGAGGGAAGTTTCCAGCAGTCAGCTCTGACAATCGAACTGAACATTCTTGTTGTAACGCTCTCATTTATATATGTTTGTATTACTGTTTCTGTTAATATATTTGTTTAACTCAATTCCTCTCTTTGTGTCTTTATTTCTGGCCCTAACTGTAGAAGTGGAATCGAACCTAAGACGCCCAGTTACAAGACCGGAATGGTCTTGGCGTCACACCCCCATAGAAGTAGACTCGCCCGCTTACATGAGAGGCGAGAGTGGGCTACTTAAACAAGACATTCACGGCAACGAGTATCGAGGCAGATACACGTCGTCTCGCTGCTACCTTACATGGCGTCGCCGATATAGGGAAACCTGCTACAAACAACGTTGGAATATGGACGAACAAACACAGCAGACATTACTTCGACAGCTCATCGAGCTACAGCAAGAGATCATCGCCCTGCGAAGAGACGGAGGACAGCCGAGAAAGTCACTTACAAGGAGACCCGACAGACCTAATATAGAACCGGACTCAAGTGATGGTGACTGGGCGATATTCATTGACTCCTGGAATAGATACAAAGGAGATGTGTGGGTTGACGGAGCCAACAGCGTTAAGAAACGAGCTGAGAACGGCCTGTGCCCCAGAAGTGAACAGGCTGTTGTTCGATATGGTAGGAGCAGAAGTACTAAACTCCGTCACGGAGGAAGAGCTGTTACGACACATAAAGCTCGTAGCCGTCAGAAGCCTACACAAAGAAGTGTACCGGCAAGAATTCCACTCCGTAAGGCAGAAGGAGGGGAATCGATTACGGACTTCGTGGCACGACTTCGATCAGTCGCAAAATTCTGCGACTTTTCAGTGACTTGTCCGAACGGGATAGGATGCGGTCGGAAAGTCAGCTACTCCAACGATATGGTAGCAGGACAAATGGTGGCTGGGCTGGCAAACCTGGAGCATCAAAGCAAGGTGTTGTCTGAGGCTGCGACACTTACGACACTGGAAGAAAAGTTCAACAGGCTTGTCAGCCTAGAGACCACGGACAAGTCTACACCCCATCTCCATAGTAACGTATACCCTACTACAACGAGCACACAGAGATCGGGCCGCAGGCAGCGGCCTCGGGAGAACCAGACCGTATCAACCCCGAGAGACACTGAACCCTGTAAATGGTGTGGGAAGAGCTCACACCCTGACGGCTCGAATGAACGAAGGGGTTGCCCAGCAGCAAAGATGACTTGTCACAATTGCGGCTTAACCGGACATTTAAAAGGGGTTTGCAGGAAACCGAAGCAGGGGTCCAGCAACAAATCTACAGCGGGTGTGGTCGGAGCAGAATCCAGAACTCTCACCACCCAAAGACACAAGAAGGGTCGTAACCGGATGATCGTCCAAGATGGACAAGTGAAAAGGAGAGGTGAAATCAACCTGACAAAACCAAAGGCCGTGCCGCACCTGATTTGGAACAAAAGTAAGTTCGAAGAGGTACTCCTGATCCAGCACCAACCCTGATGGTAGAGATAACTCTGATTCCAGAGGCCCATGCGGAATTCGGGCACATATCCATAGGACAAGCTGGCCTCCATACTCACCGGATCGAGGCGATCGCAGACACTGGGGCACAGACATGCTCTAGCGGACCAGAAATCAAAAAATTCTGAAGTGTCCAGACAAATGTCTAGTACCGACTAGTCACCGAATTCGGGGAATCACGGATAACCTACTAAACATAAAAGGCGTGATATTCGCTAAAGTCAGAGTAGGATCGCGGAAACACGTCAGATTATATATGTATCAAAAAAATACATCAGATTTCTGCCTGTCCGAGTCGGCCCTAAAAGACCTTGGTCTGGTGCCAGATAACTTTCCAGACCCAACTTCCCAGCAGAACGTGGCAACTAGCGACGGCGGAAAGGCACCATGTGGGTGCCCACAAAGAACTAATGTCCCACCTAAGCCGGACAGGATCCTTTCGCTCCTATGGAAGAAAACAGACCCCGATTGGAACGATGGATGAAGGAGCATTTTGAGTCCAGTGCATTCAATGTATGCCCACATCAACGGCTGCAGGCGATGGAAGGAAAACCCATGGACATCACGTTCATCAGGGGGCCAAACCCTCAGCTGTCCACACCCCAATCCCGGTCCCACACCATTGGAAGAAAAGAGTCAAGGAGGACCTCGACCGAGACGTGGCATTGGGCATCATAGAACCTGTACCAGTGGGTACACCTACAACATGGTGCTCCAGAATGGTGGTTGCACCGAAAAGGACGGGTCACCTGAGGCGTACGGTGGACCTACAGAAGCTCAACACCGCTACCCTACGAGAAACCCATCATACACCGTCTCTCCTTTCAATCAGGCATCGCTGGTGCCTGCGAAAACTAGAAAAAACCGTTTTGGATGCATGGAATGGCTATCATAGCCTAACCCTCTCTCCATCGGCAAGAGATGCAACTACCTTCATCACGGAATGGGGTAGATACCGTTATCTTCGGGCACCACAAAAGGATTCCAAGCGTCAGGAGACGCATATACACGCAGGTTCGACAATATTACTGTAGATATGCCCAGGAAAACAAGATGTATTGACGATACGATACTATGGGACAACTCTATTGAATCATCATTTTGGTATACTATAGAGTACATAAATAACTGCAGCAAAAATGGTATCGTATTCAACCCCAGAAATTTCACTTCGCGGAAAAAGAGGTGGAATTTGCCGGATTCTTGATAACAGAAGACGGGATAAAACCCACCAAAAAATGACTGAAACAATACGGAATTTCCCGACACCAAAAAATATAACTGACATAAGATCCTGGTTTGGAATGGTAAACCAGGTAGCCTACGCTTTTTTCTCAGGCCGAGGTAATGGCCCTGTTCCGGGAGCTGCTAAAGACAAAAAATCGGAAGTTCTACTGGGACAGCACACTCGATCGAATCTTCGAAGAGTCGAAAAGAAGGATCACAGAAGAAATCGAGAACGGTGTAAGAACCTTCGAAGTGAATAGGCCAACTTGTTTGTCGACGGACTTCAGCAAAACAGGCTTAGGATATTTTCTTTTCCAGAAGCACTGCAACTGTGCCACCGAAGCTGGACCGAAGTGTGGTGAGGACCACTGGAAGTTAATCCTGGCCGGCTCCCGATTCACTAATGACGCAGAGTCCCGATATGCACCAGTGGAAGGAGAAGCATTGGCATTAGTCTACGGACTGGAAGCATGCCGGATGTTCGTTTTGGGGTGCCCAGAGCTGTTAGTCACCGTGGACCATAAGCCCCTGGTGAAGATCTTCTCGGACAAAGCTCTGGAGGACATAAAGAACCCAAGACTGTTTAACTTCAAAGAACGGTCCTTGATGTACAAATTTCGAATAAAACATCTCCTGGCAAACTCAATGCGGCACCAGACTGTACATCGAGATGCCCAGTGGCGTTAAGCCAGGAGGAAGCAAACGAAGAGGACAGCGCACAAACTATGGATAGCGCCATAAGAGCGTCATTTAACTCCACCTATGAGCAGGACCCTAAATTAAGAGCAATAACATGGGACAGGATTGTGGCTGCAGCTGCTACTGACGAGGAATGCCGTTCCCTCGCCGAATTCATACAAAATGGCTTCCCTAATCTCGGCACGAACTGCCGGAGACAATTCGCCGGTTTTGGCATATGAAAGAGGAGTTATATTGCTTGGAAGGGTGACGATAATGGAAAATAAAATCCTCATACCCAGAAAGCTACGTGCGGAGGTACTGGAATCACTCCATTCAGCGCATCAGGGCGTCAATGGAATGTTGGCAAACGCTAGACAGCGGCTGTTTTGGCCAGGACTGGACGCGAGCATTCGTCAAACCCGGGCCCAGTGCAAAGTATGCAACGTAATAGCTCCATCACAACCCAAGGAACCCTAATGCCGCCCTCGAACCCCGAGTTCCCATTTCAGAAGACTGTGACGGACTTCTTCGATTTACGAGGGAAGAACTATCTAGTATATGCAGATAGATACACCGGATGGGTAGAAGTCACCTGATGTCGTCCGGGAATGCCAAGGCTACATGTGACGCCCTACGAAACTGGTTCTGCACGTATGGCGTACCGGAGGAACTTTCAACCGATGGCGGACCACCGTTTGACTCCAGTGAATTTAACCGGTTCCTAGATAATTGGGGCATAAGGAAACGAACATCATCGGCATATTACCCTCAAAGCAACGGGAGAGCAGAACTAGCAGTTAAAACGGCTAAAAGGATACTTGTTGATAGCACGGACAGTTGCGGTCGCCTATGCCATGACCAGGCAGCTAGGTCCCTACTGACTCATCGCAACACCCCGGTACGAGACCTACATATGTCTCCAGCGATGATGCTCTACGGTCGCGTGATAAAGGACCATCTCCCAGTGCTCCAGGACCGATATCGAATCCACAAACGCTGGAGAGAAATCGGTCATTATAGGGAAACAGCGATGGCAAAAAGACACTTAAGGAATGAAAGAGAATACAATCTAAAAAGTCACCCACTTCAGGAACTGAAAATCGGGGAAACGGTGCAGATACAGAACCAAGTTGGTCCATACCCGCGCAAAGACAGGAAGGGTGGTGGAAACACTGGGTAACCGGCAGTATAATGTACGCATGGATGGGAGTAACCGGGTAACCCGTCGCAATCGCAGATTCCTCCGAAAAATAAACCCAGTAGTAGATACTCCTTGCCACTCGATACCTCAGGTGCCCCCAGGAATGTTGGATACCATAGACAACCCAACAGGGCCCGAAATACCGGGAGAATGGTCCACCACTGATATGGATCAAAACCAGCCCGAAACATTCGACACTCTACCAGAACCGATGGAGGTAGATGACACAGCATCCCCTGGAATGATGGAGGTTGAGGAAGACCAACCGGTGCGTCGTAGCAGAAGGGTGACGCGACCACCCAGGAACCTATCCCCACAGACGTGGGGCACGTCGCACGACTACTCCAGAGCCTCAAAACATTGGACCACAACGCGAGTATCTTGTGGCCCCGGAAGGGAGGGGGCGTGTAGAAGTGGAATCGAACCTAAGACGCCCAGTTACAAGACCGGAATGGTCTTGGCGTCACACCCCCATAGAAGTAGACTCGCCCGCTTACATGAGAGGCGAGAGTGGGCTACTTAAACAAGACATTCACGGCAACGAGTATCGAGGCAGATACACGTCGTCTCGCTGCTACCTTACACTAACAAGGCCACAACAGTTATTTAATGTCAGCAGTTTTTATTACTGGTAATATTTTTTTTTTCAAAAATGTATTGCTGGTAATATTTTTTCAAAATGTATTGCTGGTAATATTTTTTTTCTCCAAAAATTTATTGCTAGTAATAATTTTTTTACAAAGTATTTCTGGTATTAAAATCTGTTTTTACACTTTCATAGTATTTTGACCCCAGTTAGTGGGTTAACTATTTGCCCATAGCTGGGACCCTAACAGGTGCTACCACCCCAGATCAGGGTGGACCTGGGAACACCAGCAATTAAGAGGTGGTTCCACACTCCTCAAAATGATCAGAGGCCTTGCTGTTGGATGTAGTTTATCGTCTTACCCAGAACATGAAACATTGGAAGTCTACTATAATAAAAACTAAATCTTAATTTCCATAAGAAAAAGTTTCAGTTCCATATAAATTAGACAAAATGAACTTTTAAAAATTTAATTTTTTAGTTTTTTGTTTTTTTTTAAAGTATATGTCATAAATCAAAAAAATACAGTAATTTATTTTTGTAATCATTTGTCCATTCCTGAAAAAATACAATACAGTTTAATAAATTTTAAAAATTATTAGCAACCTGTAAAATTATAATTTATTCAACACCTAACTTTATTAGTATTGGCATTAAGGTATGTAATATTGTGACATTTCTTCAAATATGGATCTTCAAAAAATGTAATGTTATCATTGTAAAGATAAATAAACAAGAACAATTGACTAAATCTCTCATGCATAAAATAGGGTGTCAATCTGTACCTGATGGCTAGGAGCTTACCTTCCAGATCAACCTTCTGATGCAAATGACTGCTCTGGTGTGACATTTATCATCTGAGGTGAGCCCAGTACATATTGGGGCCCAAACAAATTAACTTAGAACAAAATTTCTTTCTTGACATTAATTTTGATTCAGACCATCTGATAAATCAGATTTTACAGAAGTATTTTCATTTAAATATAATTAAAAAAAATAAAATTACAATGTACAAAAAATAAGGATAAAAGTGAAACTATTATAAAGATTTAAAATTCAAGCAATAATAATTGAAGAATGTGTTAGCCAGTGGTGGATCTACTATGAAACTAATGAAGCTTAAGCTTCTTGGCCCCTAAATCCCAGAGGGACCCCTGAAGCAACGTTTTTAATGAGTTAATTTTTCAACAAAATTGATGTTTTTTTAAAGTCTTTATTATTAAAATAAAGCCATTTTCCTGGTAGAATCATAAGCTACTGAGTTGAAGTAGCAAATGTTAGCCTTAGAATATATTCATATACCAATTTAAGATGGCCTCAAAATTCTTCCGTAATTGGTAAAATTTCAAAGTTTTTTGTGGGGTGGGGATATTTGCAGTATCCAGCTGTATGTACTCATTGAGCTAACCAGAATCTATTCATAGTCTACATTTTGGCATTTGGATCTTTGAATCTATTGTTGCTGGTTGTGAAGGGGCATTCATATCTGTTCAAGCTTCAGGGCCCAAAAAATGTAGATCCACCATTGATATTAGCATTTCTTCAAAAATATGTAATAAAATATTTGTGTTTTACCTCATAATTCCTATTCATGTATTTTTCCACTCCAATTACATAATAGACAGAAGCAATTTTTGGAAGAATGCTTGTGTCATTGGGGTCCAGCTCAAGGGCTTGTTGATAGTCTTGCAAGGAGAAATTATATTTCATCTTTTGGTAGAAACACTCTGTAAGCAATTAAAAACAGAAACTTTTAGGCAACAATGACTTCCAAGATTAAAACTTATTATGCTAAAATTAATTCTATCATTTCTTTTTGAAGATTAATTTTATTTACAAATAAGAAGATCAAATTGTGTGCAGTATAATGACTTATTTGATAAGCTATTATGTTTTTTCTCAATTAATATAGATAAATGAATAATTGTATGTTGTTGGCTTGAACTAATTTTTCTATTTTTATTTTGTCTTTTCATATTTTGGTCATATACCCTCATTACATTTACTTACGTGCTAATACCCTTAGGAAAAGTATGAATCCTCTTCTTCTCCATCCATGGATAAATAGCAAGACAGACCAGGTTCTATAGCCTTGGATGGAAACTGGTCTACCACAGAAAAAATGTCAACCTACTGCCGCAAACAAAATCTGCCTCGTCAGTCATGTATCGAAAGATACATGATCGCCTAAGCATGTATCACATATGGCACATAACTGACTGACTGATCCTCAAGTCTCTTTATTGTCTGTTGAATACAGCAATGTTGTTGAATCTTAGTGGCATTATTGCCTTGTTTGGGATGAATTGATCAAAATATATATATATAATTAATATGAAAAAGTTTTTTTCACTTAACTAGATAGTTTTTCCATCATGCTGACTTCAAAGTTTTGTGGGCACATAGATATGTGACTACTCTTCAGAGCAAAGTTGGACTTTCTGCTGATATTTCTTGATATTTTTAGTATTTATATATTGTGGCATGAATATGTCACTTTTCCTTTTTTCATTCGATGGGTGTCATGTTACCTGGTTGTTGACTTCTTTTATTCTCCTTACCTTTCTTTTATTTTTCTCCTTTTTCCTCACCTTTTCCATTGACCTCTGATTTACTGCTAATCTTTTGTACTGTTTTTTTTCATAGTTTATTGTTTTGACCATTTAATTTAAGGTCACGGTTGAATTCGTGTGTGTGTGTGTGTGTGTGTATGTTAATTCTATTGTCTGGCTCAAGGCCATAATAGTGGGGCACACAGTAGAAAATAAAAACTCACTAGTGATGGCCAATAAGACTAGCCTGGTAAGCATTGCTCTACAGCAGGCACCAATCAATTCAATTACTAACTTACATACAGAATAAATTCATGAGTTAGCTTGTAAGTCTAACTGCTCATAAATTTATAGTGAGAATCAAAAAGTTATCTTCCCTTGACCAAAACAAAAAATAACAATAAAAATTAATTATAAATATTTACAAGAATATACAGAGTCATGTAATCTGATGAGACCTGCATGAGACATCATTAGGCAGGAAAGTCAATCTTCCTCTTTTTGCTCCTTGAAATTACAGTAAAAAAATGCATAATTTCAGGCTTGTAATAACCAGACAGATAAGTACAAAATTTATATTGTTTTGGTATCCAGTCTTTTTCAAGTTGATATATGCAAACATAGTATTAAGAATTTCAAATATAAAATATATATGTATACACAAGTGTTTTTATACGAACATACAACATCTCTACTCTGATTGGCTCTTGGAACTTGTATTGGGTGAACATTATTAAAAAAAAAACAACTCCTGATATTAAAAACTTCTGTTAAAAATATTTGTAGATTTCTTTATTGGTGTCTTCTGTCACCAATAAAACTTACTGATTTATTTTTATGTCTTAACACTCCTTTATTCCTTTTAAAGTTTTGCCACAGAGTTTGAACAATTTCCATTGCTACGGCTTACAAAGTTGATAAGGGAAGTTAAAGACTAATTTCTTATTACAGAAATTACAGCATGGTTTCTTACAGTGATAAAAATTTAACATGACTTCAAAAAGTGGGGTATATTTAAGCAAAGGAGAATTTCTTTAACAAACAATTGTGACCATTTTTAAAGAAAATACACTTTCAGCTCAGATATTTGTAACAAATGTATGCAAAAACCACAACCCCAAACACTACTATCAAACTCCAACAAGACAACAACAACGGCCTTGTGACATTAATAAGGTGACATTAAACAGCTACATTATAGGGTGGTTTGGTTTAGTTTGTTTTGTTTAACGGCATATCAACCTCAATGGGTTATTTAATGCCAACAAGATTTTTTATTGTTGGTAATATTTTTTTTAAATGTATTGCTGGTAATATTTTTTTTCTTCAAAATTTACCCATAGTTGGGGCCCTAACAAGTGCTACCACCCCAGGTCAGAGTGGACCTGGGAACACCAGCAATTAAGAGGTGGTTCCACACTCCTCAAAACCTCCTGATCAGAGGCCTTGCTGTTGGACGTAATTTATCGTCATACCCAGGACGCAGATGTAATTTATCGTCATACCCAGGACACACATTATAGGGTGATATTGAACAGTTACATTATAGGGTGACATTAAACAGTTACATTAATGCTGTCTGTTGCATGGTGGTTGAACTTCCAATTTTCATTTACAGAAAGTTTTTTTTTGTATCTCTATGTTCATAACTTGAACATTTAAACAATGAAGTTGTAGAAGAGTTTGAATGCTTCATAATATTGCTTGATAACAAATGGAACAATAACAGATAAACACAGAAATATTTTCTAAGATGGGCACCAAATTACAGTCTTTACAAAAAACTATTTTTTTCAAAATTAAGATGTGTACAATCCATATAATTTTTCTCTCCTGAATCAATTTACGTATTTATAAGTCTACCATTCATCCATGCCTTGAATATTGCTGACACATATGATCCGGTGATCCTGCTGTATATCTGGAGATTCTTGATAAAATCCAAAGAATAAGCAATATTGTTGATTCTGACCTGGCGTCTTGGATTCAGTCACTTTTTCTAACTACTGTGATTTAGCTACCCTATGCCTTTTCTATTAATATTTATGTAGTAATTGTTTGCATGAACTCTTCACTATGGTACGTAGACTTTATGAATTTAAGTGCAGTACTAGATTGGCAACAATGTCTCATCAATCCACAATTGAATTGACTAGATATAACCGTAAGTTCTATGCTAACAGTTTCTTTTCTTGCACTTCTTGCTTGTGGAACTTTCTTCTGGCTCCATGCTTTCCAACCAACTTTGATCTTCAATAAATTCAAATGCAATGTCAGTCATTATCTACTGTCTTTTTGATTACTCTTCTATTGTTCATGCTCCTTAATAATGTCTCACTTTTTTCTTATTTTTTCACACCCAGTAACCCGTTATGTCTTAATGGCTCTACTGCCTTGTATGGGATGATATGATTAATAAAGTCTTCTCAAATGCAATAAAAAATAAACTAAGAAACATAACTTCTGTTCATATAATAATGAGTTATTTCCCCTTAAATGCTTATAATCAGTTCTTTTAAGATGTAAGCAGTTGTTCATGACTCCTGCCATCCATTCATATAAACTACATAGGTAGGTTAATCACTGTTTTCTCCTGATTCTCTTGCCATGTTGAGTGTTTAACACTCTTGTGAGTATTAAATTCCCTAGACCTTTCTTCATTATATGCCCAGGAAATTTCGATTGTCTCTTTTTGGCTTTAACTATTAATTTGTTGATAATTCTTAATTTTCTAAAAAACTTCCTCATTGTTCACAGATTCCGTGCATAGTTCTTAGCATTCATCAATAGAACCCGATGTCAGTTGTTTTAAGTTTCTTCTTTATCTCTGAGAAGATTGTCCAAGATTCATTGTCATAGACACAATTAGATACCAATACTATATTTTAATACTTGCAGTTCAAATACATGTTAAGATGCAGTATATGTCCAAAGCTTGACAATTAGTTCTTAGTTAAAATTGATCTGAAATTCTCACTGTATAATGTTCAATCTGATACAGTTATTAGCTAAATTCTAATCAGAATTTTTCACTGTATAATGTTCAATTTATGTGATTAATGTTCACTAATGAATTAAGTGCATTGTCAAAGAAGGAGTATTCACTATTGAATTAAGTGCATTGACACAGAAGGAGATTATGTTGAAAAAGGATTGTTGTGAAAAATAAATGCTTTTTTCATGTGGATTTTTTGATTTACCAATATATTTATTTTCCTTTCTATCTCCAGTTATCTAACCTGCATAATTTGATTATACTTAAAAGTTATAAGTACTGAAAAAAAATTACCTCACCTTTTAAAAGAAAACTATAAGCCTTTTACTTTTTATTAACCAATTTCTGTGAAAACAGAAACCATTTTCACTATCTTTGTTTGTTAATGCCAAAATGAATCATTCAATTAAAATGGTGATTTTCTAAGAATAACTTAGCTGAGGCACAAGGCCAAAAGTATGGAATCATTTGATTACAATGAAGATTTTCTAAGCATAGCTTAGATGCAGCATAAAGCTGAAAGTATGGAATCATTTGATTACAATGAAGATATTCTAAGCATAGCTTAGATGCAGCATAAAGCTGAAAGTATGGAATCATTTGATTACAATGAAGATTTTCTAAGCATAGCTTAGATGCAGCATAAAGCTGAAAGTATGGAATCATTTGATTGCTAATGAAGATTTTCTAAGCATAGCTTAGATGCAGCATAAAGCTGAAAGTATGGAATCATTTGATTATTAATGAAGATATTCTAAGCATAGCTTAGATGCAGCATAAAGCTGAAAGTATGGAATCATTTGATTACAATGAAGATTTTCTAAGCATAGCTTAGATGCAGCATAAAGCTGAAAGTATGGAATCATTTGATTATTAATGAAGATATTCTAAGCATAGCTTAGATGCAGCATAAAGCTGAAAGTATGGAATCATTTGATTACAATGAAGATTTTCTAAGTATAGCTTAGATGCAGCATAAAGCTGAAAGTATGGAATCATTTGATTATTAATGAAGATTTTCTAAGCATAGCTTAGATGCAGCATAAAGCTGAAAGTATGGAATCATTTGATTATTAATGAAGATTTTCTAAGCATAGCTTAGATGCAGCATAAAGCTGAAAGTATGGAATCATTTGATTACAATGAAGATATTCTAAGCATAGCTTAGATGCAGCATAAAGCTGAAAGTATGGAATCATTTGATTATTAATGAAGATTTTCTAAGCATAGCTTAGATGCAGCATAAAGCTGAAAGTATGGAATCATTTGATTATTAATGAAGATATTCTAAGCATAGCTTAGATGCAGCATAAAGCTGAAAGTATGGAATCATTTGATTACAATGAAGATATTCTAAGCATAGCTTAGATGCAGCATAAAGCTGAAAGTATGGAATCATTTGATTACAACGAAGATATTCTAAGCATAGCTTAGATGCAGCATAAAGATGCAGCATAAAGCTGAAAGTTAAAGTATGGAAACATTTGATTAATGTGAAGATTTTCTAAGCATAGCTTAGATGCAGCATAAAGCTGAAAGTATGGAATCATTTGATTACAATGAAGATTTTCTAAGCATAGCTTAGATGCAGCATAAAGCTGAAAGTATGGAAACATTTGATTAATGTGAAGATTTTCTAAGCATAGCTTAGATGCAGCATAAAGCTGAAAGTATGGAATCATTTGATTACAATGAAGATTTTCTAAGCATAGCTTAGATGCAGCATAAAGCTGAAAGTATGGAATCATTTGATTACAATGAAGATATTCTAAGCATAGCTTAGATGCAGCATAAAGCTGAAAGTATGGAATCATTTGACGGTTAATGAAGATATTCTAAGCATAGCTTAGATGCAGCATAAAGCTGAAAGTATGGAATCATTTGATTACAATGAAGATATTCTAAGCATAGCTTAGATGCAGCATAAAGCTGAAAGTATGGAATCATTTGATTACAATGAAGATTTTCTAAGCATAGCTTAGATGCAGCATAAAGCTGAAAGTATGGTAACATTTGATTAATGTGAAGATTTTCTAAGCATAGCTTAGATGCAGCATAAAGCTGAAAGTATGGAATCATTTGATTACAATGAAGATTTTCTAAGCATAGCTTAGATGCAGCATAAAGCTGAAAGTATGGAATCATTTGATTACAATGAAGATATTCTAAGCATAGCTTAGATGCAGCATAAAGCTGAAAGTATGGAATCATTTGATTACAATGAAGATATTCTAAGCATAGCTTAGATGCAGCATAAAGCTGAAAGTATGGAATCATTTGATTACAATGAAGATATTCTAAGCATAGCTTAGATGCAGCATAAAGCTGAAAGTATGGAATCATTTGATTAATGTGAAGATTTTCTAAGCATAGCTTAGATGCAGCATAAAGCTGAAAGTATGGAATCATTTGATTACAACGAAGATATTCTAAGCATAGCTTAGATGCAGCATAAAGCTGAAAGTATGGAATCATTTGATTACAACGAAGATATTCTAAGCATAGCTTAGATGCAGCATAAAGCTGAAAGTATGGAATCATTTGATTTTAACGAAGATATTCTAAGCATAGCTTAGATGCAGCATAAAGCTGAAAGTATGGAATCATTTGATTACAACGAAGATATTCTAAGCATAGCTTAGATGCAGCATAAAGCTGAAAGTATGGAATCATTTGATTACAACGAAGATATTCTAAGCATAGCTTAGATGCAGCATAAAGCTGAAAGTATGGAATCATTTGATTACAACGAAGATATTCTAAGCATAGCTTAGATGCAGCATAAAGCTGAAAGTATGGAATCATTTGATTACAACGAAGATATTCTAAGCATAGCTTAGATGCAGCATAAAGCTGAAAGTATGGAATCATTTGATTACAATGATTACACACAGTATGATTGTAGAAAGTCTAATTACCTGCTCTATTCAAATAAAGACCCTTTTCATTTTTCTCGCCTGCTATTGCTCTGTTGAGTAGCTGAATAGCTTCATCAAGAAATCCTTTGGCAAAACATTCCAGAGAAAAATCATTGAAAGTAAGGAGGAGTTGATGTTGAGCCTCTTTCTGAATGTTTTCTTTCTCTGTAAGGCTACACTTCTTCAGAGCCATTACCAAATCATCAATAGAACTATTAAAGTCTTCAACATGACGATGTAGAATTCCTCTGGAAAGATAAGAAAGCAAAACAAATATTAAATCAAGATAGAAAATAAACAATACATTTTAAATCTTATATCTTTATTATATTTACATATATTATTTATATATTATCATTTTTATATTTTTTATCTATTTATTGATCAGAGAAATTAATGACAAATAGAAATATTGATGAAAAAATAGCTGATAATTACCATATTCATTTATGCACAATGTAAGAAATTTTATATTAGAATCAAGAGCCAAAATGAAATTATGTATTTACATAAGTATAACATTTTAAAAATTATATCAGGTCAATCTACAAGTGCTATTGGTACTATGTAACCTAATACTACCTGCTGCATGGTCGGGTTATCAGTGACTAAACTGCTTACCCCCATCAGTCTTTTAGTCTTTTCTAGATATTCATCAGGATTAAAAACAAGACCTGTCAAAGGGTGGATGAATTTTCTTGTAGCCTAACAGCCATCTAGCACAATGGGGGTAGACTGAGCCCCATAGCTATGTATGCAGTATGGGTGGTGATGGCATGACATTGCTGGACACAGGGCTTACTAGACTGAAGTCAATGACCAAGGTGGAGGGTAACCCTGATGAAATCAACATCCACATGTCTGTGACCAAGGTGAGCCTTCAACTAAGAAGTGTTCAACTGTGGTTTGACCTAGAGAGACATACTACACATAAATAAATGCCTCTCTAGATCTCAACTAAGATATGTGAAGGGAACTGGTCAAGTGCTCAGTTGAGTAGTGACCTTAAGGGTCATAGGACTAATGATGATGATGATGAATATTTTAAAGAATTTATTTGTATCAATAAAATAACTACTATTCTGTATATAACATTAGTGTGGAGGCATGGTGGAGTATTGGGTAGCAACTTGGATTGAGGAATCAAAGAGCTAAGTTCAAATCCCAGTCATGTTCATTATATTCACTTATGTGCTAATACCCTATGTGCTAATATGAATCTATTTCTTCTCTTCCCAGCTATGGGTAAAATAGCAGGACAGACTGGGTCCTATAACCTAGGAGAAGGAAACTCTGAATTCAAACTGGATCACACTATCCCCAAAGTGTGCATACATGTGGCTGGGGATCACTCGTGAATCCAAATTTGTACATCTGAATGAATACAACTTCTGCTACATTTGGTCAGCTTTCGTCTGGATACAGTGGATTTCTTTGATAGAGCCAGCTCAACCGACTGGGTGTATGCCACAACAGAATATAGGACTGGCAGATACTTTTCCATGAAAGAAACCCTTTTTCCTACTCCTTCTTATAAATATATAAACAAAATATTTTCATACTTTTTACTTTAATAAATAGCAGGTTGCATTATAGACAATCTTGTATTGTGACTGATTAAATACAATCATTTTAATAGGCTGCCATAACAGTTTGATTTACATGATTTACTAAAAGGAATAATTAAATTAGTCATTTTTATTTTATTAAATTTAGTCAATCATAGATTTAATAATGCAATAAAATCTGCAAATTGTATTTTTTTATGAAAAAAGTAATAAACTATGCAGTTATTTGATGACAACAATAATTTTATTTTATATTTTTCTAATATCTGATGAGTATTTCCTCTTAACTGTTTTATTCATGCTTGAAAATATAAATCATAACAAAATGATTCCATTTACACATTAATTTTGCAATAGTTCATCAGGATTTAAAGAAAAATGGATATACTATTTTATCATTTATACAAGTTTGATTTAGAACAAACAAAATTTCTTCTTTGAGGATTTTTTGTTTATATATTTTCTATTCCAGACCATTTTCCTGGTTTCTAGTGAAACTTTAAATATAATTTGTCAAATGTCTGAGTACTTTCATAAGAAATTATCAAGAATTTGTGTTTTTTGTGCTACAATGATTTCAGTGTATTTTAAATATTGTGTCTTCAGGTGTCATGTTGTTTTCTAAAGTATTGCATCTTCACATATAAATTAACATTAACCTTTTTTTTTATTTATGAAACATATTTAGTAAATTTGTTTCTTATTGATGTTGAGCTGTTTATGCTTTTATGCTTATTATTTATTAGAAATGTTAGATTCATTCTAATTTATAAATATAAATATTAAAATGCAAAATGATATTTATAAATTCAAAATACGTATGCGCTTATGTGAACAGAAAATACTATGAAGAACATTGGGAAATAGTGAATGAAATCAACAAATATATTTATTTACCTGAATAGATTAGTTGCAATAATGTCTTGTTTGGTTAATATAGCAATTTTGCTTCTTACCTAAGAAGGTAGGATTTGGCTTCTGTTGGGTAAAGGCTGATGGATAAACTGATTTTTTTGATGGCAGGATAGAACTGTTTTTGAATGTTGAGATTCATGGCTTCACATCTAAATTGTTCAGCTTTGCTAGTTACTTGTTCCAACATCATTGATGCAATAGAATTTTCACCCTGGCTCAGTACAGCTTTGATAGCTTGGAATGAAGACGAATACTAAAATAGAAATTATGATACATACATATTAAAGTTTATAATATTGTTGTAGTGACTTTATTAGTCAGGGTCACTATTTGTGGTATAGTAGCCAAGTGTATTTAGTAGAAGGAAGAATAATACACTAATAAAATAATGAATGTAGGAGGCATGGTGGAGTAATGGATAGTGGCTCGAATTGACGAATTGGAGTGCTGTGTTCAAATTCTAGTTGAGTTCATTATATTCACTTACGTGCTAATATCCTTGGGAAAGGTATGAATCCTTAGCTTCCCCCCCCCCAGTGATGAATAAATAGCAGAACAGACTGAGTCCTATAACCTTGGGTGGCAACCAGTTTAGGAGAAAGACAACTCTAAATTCAAAACTTTCAACCTGCTTGGTGAGTACAGCTACACTTCTGAAGATATGGTCAATCAGGGTGGGGTTCCTTCAGGAATGGGTTCCCCTAGAGATGGGTTCCTCCAAGGAGAGTGAAGGCCATGGATCTAGATCTGTTCCACTGACATCTTGTTTTTAATAATAAATAAATTTATTATCTCTGCATAAATATAAGTTGTAAATTCTGTGATCAGTACCACTGACTGAAATCAACATGATGCATATGCTGCTTGTGATGGTTCACATTGGTACAAGTTAGTGAGGATTCATTCATAGGTTGGCCAAGTTGGTGCAGATGAGCAAGTGTAAGCCAGTACAGACAAATGGATAAAGATATCTATATTTGTGAATAGTGATCAAATAGAATACATGCAATTGTGAGTTATTCTCATCGGAAAACACAACTGTATATCAATTATGATACTTTTTATACTAAGGCAAAGTAGATCAAGAGAACACTGTGTAGCAAAAAAGTGATTAGACAGCATATGTATTTGTTTCTGTGCCAAGTTCTAACTTGACAGAGTAGTAATATGCTTAGATTCTCATAAAATAAGAAAACTCTTTTGGAGTTATCACTTATTCTCAACTCTATAGAATAGAAACTTCTGCTGCAACCCTTAGATTTTCATTAATTAATTATTAGACAAGTAATTTATAATCTTTACACTTTGATTTCAAATTCACCATGTTTTTGTTGTAATATTATTTGATATTCTTTAAAAAAAATGTACACTGTGATATTTTTTTTTAATCAATTTGCCCAAGCAAAGCAATAATGCCACTAAGTTACAAGGAGCTACTGGAAGTGAAAGAGAACAAAAAGACTTTAGAAGGAACCAGAAACCCAATCCTAAACAGAAAACAAGGGATAAATCTCTACTCCTGTTCAAAAGACTGAGGAAGAGTGTGAACCTATCTACTCCTATTGAGGAAAAAAATAAAAATAGACTAAATAAAATTTCAGAATTTAGATGGAGACATTGGACATATATTCATAGAAATATAATTAACCCTCTGTTATTATTGTAGTGTATTATTATAGAAAAATACACCATTTAAAATATAGATATATCATTTAGTTTTTAATTTTCTTGTTATACTTCATGAATGTTCTTCATGGTTTTTATAGAATAAATAGAAATTTAAAAAATAGGTTTTATTTTGAAAAATTAAATTAAAATGTTATGGAGTTAGGCTAATGTTTATGCAGGTGTTGGGGACTACGTATACTTTTACTTAGCCTGTCAGATATCTCAATTTCACATTTCAAACCAAGGAGATACTTTTTAGCCATAGGTTGGAAAAGGTGTCTTAAAATCTATCTTCTACATTTATAAATCTACCATTCATCCATACTTTGAATATTGTTGCCATATCTGGTCTGGTGTTCCTAATTGAGATTCTTGGTAAAATTCAAAGGGTCTGTGATATAATCGATCATGATCTGGCATCTTGACTTCAGTCATTTCCCACTGACTTGATGTGGCTTCCCTCTGTTTTTTCTACAAATATTTTCATGGCAATTGTTCTAATGTGCCTTCCTATTTGGTGTCTTGACTGCATGAATTTAAATGTGTTACCTGGTTGGCAACTAGGTCTCTCTGTTTTACTGTTAAACTAGCAAGATGTAACTGTATATTCTATTCTAATAATTTCTTTTCTTGCTCCCTGTCAATTTGTTGCTTCCCTGCAACCTAACCTTCAAAAATTTAAATGCATTACCAATTGCCATCTTCTGTCTTCCTGAACCCTATTCTTTTATTGTCCTTTCTCCTTACTAAAGTCTTCTCATTCTCTTTCACTCTCTGTGACCCTTTGCATCCTAGTGGCATTATCACCTTGCTTGGGGCTGAAATATGTATAAAAAATAATGCCATTAAATATATGTTAATAATAGATGAAAATAAAATGGTATAAAAATCATCAAAGCTTTCAAAATATATCTAATTTCACTTTTATGAATTAATTCTATGAAACACAAACTATATTAATCTTATGTTGATATTTGTATCTTAATTTAATATGATTTATTTATGTTATCATAGTTTATTTCTTTACTTACCTCACCAGTGATATGATAAAGGCGCGCTTTCATCAAAATCAAGTCTGTGTTGTTTGGATTCTGATTTAAGAGTTTGTTCAAAATCACCCAGGCTTGGTCAAAACATTTTAGATTTATGAGGCAACTACAACTACAACGAGAAATCAAAAGATAAATCAAAAGAGCATCAACACAAGAATCATTTTAGAATTCTACTTGTTCCTCTGTTAGTTAGAATGTGTGTTACACCCTGCCATTACCTCTGATAAATAATGAACCATTCCATTTTGATTGCATGGAAAGATGGAAGAAAAATATATATCAGGGATGCTTTTTGGTTCTAGTGAGAAAAAGAAAGAAAGAAGAAGTAATAACACTTTCCGCTTCAATGAAATATAAAACTTGTTCAGTTTTTGAATCTTTTCATTTGTACCCTTTTACATCTTTAAATACAGACCTGCATTCAAACTTATGATTGTTATTGCAATATTTTCTTCCAATTGTTAAGCTGAAATGTTTAATGATGCAGTAGTTGAATTTCCATAGAGTATTTTATAGCTGTGCAACTTGCCATGAAATTATTTAAATATTAAATTAGAAATTAGGATACATCAGAAAATTCAAACAGGAAAGCCACAAAATTTTCATTATTTTTTCTAAATGCCATGAATGTTCAGGACGTAGGCAATCATGACTCATCACAGATTGTTTTTCTCAAGACTTCTTGGGAAAAACAGAGGCATAGTTTTCCATTGCCTTCTCCATAGTTTTCAATTCAGAACTGTTCTTCTCCTTGACTGACTACCACCCAAGGCTAGAGAGCCCTGTCTATCCTACTGTTTAACCCATAACTTGAGGAAGAAGAATTGCATTCATGCCTTTCCCAAGAGCATTTTTATGGAAATGAATGCAACAGCCTAGGTTGGAATTTGAACTTGACTCACAAACTTCACTATCTGTACTGATAAATGTTGCACCAACCAAACATCCTTTCAAATAAAAAAGAAACTAGTCAGTAAACATTCATTTTCCAGTATCTTACATGTGATACACCAGCTGACAATTGTGAAGAGCCATTTTAAACTTGCACTCGTAACACATAAAATAATGCAATTTAATTTTCATTCTTATGAATGAAAATTGTATGAAATTATTGTTTAAATGTCATAATATATGCATGGATTAGAGAGTGGAGAGAGAGACTTACCATTTGGCTTTGTAGACAATTTGGTCAGGTACTAGAGTGGCTGCTTTTATAAAGGCTTCCAGTGCATTTTGGTACATTTCCAAGTCAAGGTAGACTTGCCCTTGGAAACAGTAGAGCTTTGCCAAGCGAAATTTAAACACAAAACAAGATTTAAATAAATGGAATGCTCTCCTATAATCGTAAATGGCTGATTGTAAATCTCCAAGGTGGAGGCTGACTTCTGCTCGATCTGCCATCCAGAAAGGGTCATTTGGATTTAAAGCAACAATTTTGTTGTGCTTTCTAAGGCTGCTCACATAATCACCATGTTGTTCATCATATTTGGCCTTGACAGTTCTGGAATAAAGATGTGAAATGAAATCTTGTTAATTGGAATTATGGGAAATAAAATATAGTTAAAAATTAGTTTAGCCATTTGCTATGTTTATATTATTATAGACAAAGTCATTTTTAAGTAATTAATAGATTTTTTTTTTAATCTGGTATTATTTATTATTATTGTATTTGTAAAATATATACTCTTTTTAAAATTTTACTGCTAGTTAATTAAATTTTATTAAAAAAGGAGAAAACATTAAATAATTTCTGGATTTTAGAAATTTTTGGTGCTTAAGGAGTTTTTGGCAATTCATTTTTTTAAATTTATACATTTAATACTTTTTATTTTAATTTCATACAGATGAATAATTTTTTAATTCATTACAAAAATTATATATGCAAATTTTACACAAGCAAAAATTAAAAGGTTTATTGAAAAATCTCAAATTAACTTTTGATATTTAATCTTAGGCATTTTAAAAGTATTCTTTTGACATGAAAAGCAAAATTTTCCACAAATAAGGATTGAAATTTAGTGTCAACCTATAAAAATAATTTATTATGTTTGCAAAATAACGGATTTTAAGATTTCATTGCTTTAATCAGTCAAATGTCAGTGAAGAAAAACCTATTTTTTAACCAATTACGTTTTCTTTGCACTGAACTTGCTCTAGAATCCTCCCTACAGTATATAAAAGAATTCCAGTGTTTCATAAGCTCTCAATACTCTTGTGTCACCCTGTTTTAATGATGAACTCTATCATGTACATTAGTGAGTTGTTATAACAAATAAGGGAAAAACAGCTTGTTCATATTGTTCTTAACACATTTGTAAATAACAATAATAATAACTAATAATAATAAACTTCCTAATATTCTGACTAATCACATTTTACTGTACCTAATGTTCTCTGGATCCACTTTGTCTTGATATAAAAAGAAGTGTTAAAATTGATATACAGTAGTTACTTCTGTTGAGAACAGCTAACAGTCATCTACCTTCATATGTCTATTTGTTACAAATCTAGATATCTTTACTAACTTGTTTGTACTGACTGACCTCTAGTTAAACTTTCACTAGCTCATCTGCTCTCACTCACCTATGAGTGAACTCTCACCAACTTGTACCAACCTGCACATGAACTATCACAAGCACTATATGCCTCATACTGATGTCTTTATATATTTCACACAAGTAGCAATGTATAAGCAGAAAAAAAACAACATTTAGAAAATATCACGTATGATTCAAATAGTCAAACTTAGTAATTACAAAAAAGTTAAAAGTAAAAAAAATAATTCTGTTCATTCAATATCCACGTACTTACAGGGCAAAGGATGTTTTTTGAACAGAGAAGCTTTCATCACTGGAGCACTGTGCAAGCTGTGCTTTGTAAGTTACCCATACAAAAGGATCCAATATACTTTGACAGCGCATAATATTGTTGGAACGCTTACACTTCTCTGCATCTGCAGCTGTCTCAAAATAACCCTCATCATCATACTACAAAAGTAAATGAATTAAGAACAGCAATGTTTAACGTTTGTACCCACAAAAAAAACAGTGTTGTCAAAAGGACAATTATTCCCTTGTCACTGCTATTATTGTATACACTTATGACTTCATTGACAATGTTTAATTTTTTTAAAAAGGGATAATTAGAATTTTAATAAAACCCAAACATATGAAAATGGATTGATGCATTTATTTATTCTTGGGAACTGATAACAAAGATGTGAAATACTATTTATTTATTTATTAGATTGAATAAAAAACTTGTTTTCATAGTTATTTATAAAATGGTAAATAATAAATATTAGATTTTGAAGTTAGTTTATACATTTTGATAATTTTATAAATAAACATTGCCAAGGGAGTCAAAAGTATATAGTCATGTCAAGTGGATAACTGTCCTTTTGACACACTGTTTTTTTTTGTGGGTACAAAGGTTAAATATTGCTTTAAGAAGATTAGTTTGCACATAAGACTGTCTCATAGATTGAATTTTGTTACACAAATTTTCAACAAATCTCATATAGAAAGTTCATAGAAAGATATATAAAACTTAAAGTCATATATATATATATATATATATATATATATATATATAAATATAAAATAAAATATATATATATATATATATATATATAAATATAAAACCAAAATATATATATATATATATAACCAAATGGATAAATATAGGTAGATGTATGAGTGAGTGATTGTATACAAATGCATATATTCTATAGTGTGAGAAAAAACAGTTCAATGTTATTATTATTATTATGTTTTTATTTGCCCTATTTATTTATTTGCATATTTATATGTTCCTATTATATCTATGGCTCTTGTTTTATTTTACCTTTATCTTATTTTATTTTGTATTTTTATTTTATCACGGCATATTTTATTATTATTATTATTGATATCACTACTTTTAGTTAGTTTAGCAATATTAATATTAATAAAATTATTAATTACTTTATTCATTTTCATGGAAAATATAGTTACCCTCCTCGATTTTTTAATGTTTCTTCTTGTTTATTACTTTTTTAACATCAGCATCTCTTTAAATTAGAATTTATAATTTTTATTTCCAACCTTATTTTCAATCTTAAATGTTAAACTGGGCCTAAATTCAAATACAAAATTAAACTACAATGCATTTAAATATTTTAAAAACAATAATATTCCATTCGAACAATATCTTGTGATAACCATAAATTTATAAATTTACAAAGTTTATAAATTTTTATAAATTCTTGTTTATCTATGTACTATTTCTACAATAGAGTATCCAACTGTTGAAAAAATTTATATTGATAGTACTAAGAATTCTTTTAAGACTAAGTGGTATCAACATATCTTATCCTTCACCAATAGTACAAATGAAAATATTACATCTCTTCCTAAATAATTTTGGAATTTAAAAGAAGCTAATAAAACTCCTAAGGTAAAATGGAAAATTAAAAAAAAAGCTAGAACATGTAGATCTTTAAATGAACCCTGTTTTCTATACTTAAATGAAAAATTAGAAATTATCAGATTTTCTGATAAAAACTCTTTATTAAACTAAAGAAGAAATTTAACTGTAAATTGTAGGTATAACCTACCATTTACCTTACAATATGTTTAAACTTTGAATTTGATAATATTTTATCTTATAGTAATAATCAGTAGCACCTTATATGGCTCACTATTCTATTTGTAAGATTCATTTTGATTTAATATTGCTTTGTATTGATGTTTGGTTAGTATTATTAACATCTTATATTGATTAGTTGGTATTATTAACATCTTATATGGATGCTCTTTATTTAACTGTTGTATATTAATTTGCCAAAGTAGTTCTGTATTTTTGATCTGTTTTTTGTGGGTTTTTTTGAGCAGTTATTTACCAGTTTCTTAAAGGGGCCTTTTATTTATCCACTACAAAATTTTATGTAAGAAGTTGAATGAGCATATAACCAGTTAGCATTATGTTAAATTACCTTCCCACATCTTTTTACTTTTACTTCTTAGAAAAGTTGAATGTTAGACTTCGATACATCTTACAAAATAATGTAACAACCTGTATATGCCAATAAGGAAATGGTCTAGGATTTATATGCAGACAACTTCATGTCATGACCTATATTAAAAATTTTTTTCTGGTGAATTTGAATTTAGCATAAGTCACATTTGATTGGTTAATCACGGCAAAGCCCACAAGCCTATTTTTTTTAAGGTATTCTGCTTTTGAAATTAAATTAATCTTTCACTCGCCAGTAGTTTAACATCAGCAGAGAGAGACACATTTGTAATGTTGAAACATAATTGCCATTATGTAGTGATTTTTAACATGTTTTAATATCCTAAAATAAAAATAATATATATATATATATATATATATATATATATATATATATATATATATATATATAGAATAAATAACTGATATGAAATATCCAAAGTATATCTGATGAAATTTGTGAAAACCAGTTAGAAAAAAATTTTTTTTAAGTTTCCATGAATTCCATTTTATATAAATAAATACTGCAATCCTTTATGTATATCTCACAAGGGTGTATAAGAAACAGTTTAAAAAGTTTTAAAATCTAAGGGGGATTAAAAAGACTTATTTTCATGTGTAAAATGCACAACTGATTTTGGAGCAAAGAAAGAACTTGTGAAAAAGGAAGAGAGAAAATGAAAAAAAATGAGTTGTTTACTTTTGTGATTCATAAGCACTACATACATGTGATAACAACTCTTGGGCTATAAAGCCACTAAATTGCCAATAGATATTGAAAAAATAAATTGAATATATATATATTAACTTGTTTGTTTGGTTTAAAATTTTTTGTAACAATCTGAGGTATTTCTTTTGAAATTACAGACAAACCTCCCATCAACGGACTAATAGGGGTATAGGTGATCTGTTAAAGCCGATTGTCCATAGATAGGAAGATGTTGTGGAGTGATTTCATAGTGGAGGCTTGTATTTGTACTAAATCAGTCCTAAAATAGGTTTGATATACAAAAACGTAATCTTGTTGTGGTTGCTGATACTTTCGTATTTGACTAACTGTCGTCCGACATCAACTGACTTTGACCGACCTTCGTTTCTCTTACTACTCCTACTTATATTATGTGGGAGAGTCTGTTAACTATAGAATAGGTGTGTTTCACCATAACAGAAGGGATTATTTTTGAGTTATAAAACCACTATAGTAACTACCAGTAGTTATGATCATCATGTAAATACTATAAACATGTATATATTGCATAAATAAATATATACTTAATATAGATATATTAATCAAAATAACAAAAATAATAGATTTCTCACAGATACTTTCTCACGCATGCATGAATGTATTGTACTTTATATACTGTACACTCATCTTTGTCTATGATTGAAAGGCCAGTCACTGCTGCCAAGTGGTCACCTTGAGAACTAATATGACTCATTTCGCTAAGTCAGCAAATTTTTAAATACATCGTTGATGATTTGGAAGTTTTTTTTCCTGTATAACTTTTTTTTACTTTGCCTGCAGATTTTGTCTGTTGCATCCAAAGTCTTTTGATAGGGGTCTGTAGATGAGTGGTTTGTCTGTATTTGTTGTGTAATCTTACAAAAGTACAGAACTGTACAGGACATAGTGATACATTATGAAAGATTTATTTCTCTTTGTTGGAATCCGTCATTAGATAGATATCCCTCCAGTAAAAAAAAAAACGACCTAATTTGACCCAATTTTGTCCGCTTTATGTCCTGGAAAAAATGGGATTGAATTCTAAACTAAAGTATAAGACACAGCAGATATTTGGAAATTATTTTGAATAAAAAAAACCTGCATCTTATATATACAGGATTACGGAAAATAAATCTTATGTAAATAAATAAATAAATCTTATATAAGTTTTCACAAATTCCATCTTGCATAAATAAATATGTACAGGGTGTCCATAGAGTTCGTGTGCACTTTAAAAAATTATAACTTTATTTGTATTTGTGATAGAAATAATCTGTAAAAAATGTTATAAAGTTTAATGTATCTTGTTTTAAGTATAGCTATAATTAATGTGATTTCAGGCATTACTGTAAATCAGTTGGCAAATGTTTTCCGTGAACTGAAAAATCGTATTACCCTTTGTATTGCTAATGATGGAGGACATGTGGAAACTTAAATAAAATTTCAATAAAACCTTAAAAAATATAGATTTACTTCTTTCTAATCCTTTTTACAAATTATTTCTATCACAAATACAAATAAAATTATAAATTTTTTAAAGTGCACACGAACTTTATGGACACCTTGTATTTCAATGTAAAATAAATAAAAATAATAATAATATTCTGAAAAGTATATAAATAAAATTTACAAACTAACAAATGCAAATAAGAGAATACAAATTGCAATATGATTTTTCATTCTGCTTCTACACATATTGGTAAATATTTTCCTATTGAAAGATGAAAATTATTACTAATTGAAAAGAAATTGAAATTGTATATTTACATTATACTGCACAGCTTTTGCAAGTTCTGTTGATGCCACAAAATTCTCTGAGTTGCTGTCAGGTGAGAAGATTCGCAACTCATCAAACGTGGCATTTTCTTTTTCTTCTTCACTTTGTGTGGGAAAAAGAATATTGGTGTCTTCTGTAATTGCTTTTGTGGCTACTGTTTCTGATGATGGCTGAACAACTTTAGACTTTTTTGCTTTCCCAGAAACAGAAGATACCAGTCCCAACCAAAAATTGGATGCTTCTGTTGTTGAAGGCTTCTGAAAACTATGCTTTAATATTGGGAAGAACTGATGCACATTGACATTTTCTCTTTCTATTTTTGTAATTGCTGCTTTTGCAATTTGGACACTTTTAACTTCTTCCATTTGGGAAATCTAAAATGATAGCAAAATGTAATAAAATACATTGGTAGCACAATATAACAGTATAACAAAAGGGCTACCAAAATATAAAGATATCATGATAGCAGATTATAATATACTAAAATGATAACTAGATCATACTTATTATAAAACCCAGGTTGTGTGTATGTGTCTGTTTGTTTATATATGGGATCGGATTTCCTACATTTTTCAACCGATTTCAACAAAACTTCACAGAACTACATAAAATTACCTTGCGGTGGTTCTGACAGTGCCAAAAACTGGAAAAACACAATTGTTTTTGCACAAAATCAATTTGAAAACACGATTAAGATGCATTAATGGAAGAGGGACAACTCATATCGAGTTATACTTATTATAAAACCCAGGTTGGTTGTTTGTTTGTGTGTGTGTGTGTGTGTGTGTGTGTTCGTTTATATATGGGATCGGATTTCCTACATTTTTCAACCAATTTCAACAAAACTTCACATTTTTTGGGCTGGTAGTGTTTCTTATCGTCTTTTTACATTCAGAATGCTTTAAAAAATCCATTTACAAGACAATTGTTTATAATAAAATTCTATTCAATCGGTAGACTCATAACGATTAAAAACAATGTTTTTGTTTGACAAACAAAACAAAAAAAAAAACCAATTGACCAATTTGTAAAAGAAAAAAAACAAACAAAAAAAACTAATTGAGACATGCGTGTCCGTCAACCTTAAACAATAATCTTTGTCAATTTTATTTTTCAGTCTTTATGATGGTCGATACTTGATCTATCTCTTACTGTTACATCCCTGGGCAACGCCGGGCTTTACTGCTAGTATAATATAACATGATAGTAAAATATAATGTTACACCTCTGAAAACCTAAAAGATTTTTTCCTACAAATAGACAGCTGTAACCAAGGTTAAAGCATTAGTTAACTTAGTCATTTAGATGCTGTAAGATAAACAACATGCGAACATAGTTTCAGTAAAATAACAAAACCAGCAAACCAGAATTAAGGATCCAACATTGGCTAATTAAATGAAAGATTGAGAATTTCAAATTGTGTTAAAGTTGAGCTTATCTTTACCAATGTAAACAGAGAACTAACACTCCACCGATTGATTTATTTGTAAATACAAGCTTCACATATTAAAACCAAATAAACTCCCCAAAGTTTACACATATTGTTTATGATTGGTGTTTTGTTGTTCCCACAACAAACTAATTGATCTGATAGAGATGCATCCTTTTCCTTTTCCACAATGTTAGTGATCAACCTAATAAACAGTTGTTACTGTTTGTTCTATAAATCAATGTTTGTGTTTATTCATGTTTCTATAGTTAAAGGCATTGCAACCTTAGGGCTGATGAATGAAATCATAGCAATCATATCCTCTACAAATATACTAAATTGATAGCAGATAGTGATGATATAATAGCAGGCTATAATATATTGAAACGATATAAGATAATGATGATATAATAGCAGGCTATAATATATTGAAATGATAGCAGATAATGATGATATAATAGCAGGCTATAATATATTGAAACGATATAAGATAATGATGATAAAATAGCAGGCTATAATATACTGAAACGATAGCATATAATGATGATATAATAGCAGGATATAATATACTGAAATGATAGAAGATAATGATGATATAATAGCGGGCTATAATATATTGAAACAATATAAGATAATGATGATATAATAGCAGGCTATAATATACTGAAACGATAGCATATAATGATGATATAATAGCAGGATATAATATACTGAAACGATAGCATATAATGATGATATAATAGCAGGCTATAATATACTGAAATGATAGAAGATAATGATGATATAATAGCAGGCTATAATATATTGAAACGATAGCAGATAATGATGATATAATAGCAGGCTATAATATATTGAAACGATATAAGATAATGATGATAAAATAGCAGGCTATAATATATTGAAACGATAGCATATAATGATGATATAATAGCAGGATATAATATACTGAAATGATAGCAGATAATGATGATATAATAGCAGGCTATAATATATTGAAACGATATAAGATAATGATGATAAAATAGCAGGCTATAATATATTGAAACAATAGCATATAATGATGATATAATAGCAGGCTATAATATACTGAAATGATAGAAGATAATGATGATATAATAGCGGGCTATAATATATTGAAACGATAGCAGATAATGAGGATATAATAGAAGCCTATAATATATTGAAACGATAGCAGATAATGATGATATAATAGCAGGCTATAATATTCTGAAATGATAGAAGATAATGATGATATAATAGCAGGCTATAATATACTGAAATGATAGAAGATAATGATGATATAATAGCGGGCTATAATATATTGAAACGATAGCAGATAATGAGGATATAATAGAAGCCTATAATATATTGAAACGATAGCAGATAATGATGATATAATAGCAGGCTATAATATTCTGAAATGATAGAAGATAATGATGATATAATAGCAGGCTATAATATACTAAAATGATAACAGAATATAACCTGACAGCAGAATCTGATGAAATATTTGTAGCTTTATTATTATTAAGATATTATATTAAAAATCCTTAAAAACAATGAAATTTGAGTCTTTTTCTTTCATTGCTGTGCTTGTTTGTTTCCTTTTATTCTCAAAACTTCTTTCATAAATATTTACACACACATACATAAACTTCTGTTTATATATATCATTTATATTTATGCATATATCAAAACTTCTGTTATAAATATTATTTAGGACTTTCATTAGTTAGGACTTTCATTAGTTAGGACTTTCATTAGTTAGGACTTTCATCAAGAAATTATGGTATTGGGTTGGTACATAATTATCAGGCATTTTTGTAGGCAAGCTATTTATTAATTAACCTGGCTGTTTTGTTTGCTTTTTTAATAAAAATATTATTTTATTTTCAGGTTATAAAAATGTGTGTCGATAATCATAATCTCCAGAATAATGATTTAGAAATGTTATTGTTGAATTGTTATATTTCTTTTTCACAATAAATATTGTTTAAAAAACGCCTGTTAATTATGCACCAACCCAATATTATAGTAACTGTAGTAAGAATGGTAAATAAAATGTGTTGTTTTATTGTAAGGAAAATTATGGTATGTTTTGGTCAGTGCTTATGTCTAGTTAAGTTAAATTTAGGAGAGATGAAGAACAACCGCCCCATCCTATTTTGACCTTGTGCCACACTTCATGTAAAAACTGAAACAAATATTGCAAGGACATAATCTATCACTTACTCATAAAAATAAATTATCAAAATTGATATATTTATAAGTGTTAAAAACTGAATTGTAGAAAGCAAAACATAAACATTAAAACAGCCCTAGACAAGAATTACAGGCACCTGCTCAGGCACATTTATATTTCTTCATCACTGACAGATTCAATTTATACTGCAACTAGGCTGAGCAGGTCTAAGAGTTTCTGGGAAAGAACACACTATCTATAATCATGTTATTGAACTAGGTTCAATTGAGCCTAATCAGTAATTGAACAAGGCTAGTATTTCAAAACCCTCAGTCACAATGACTTGTGAGTTCATGCTAACACAATCATCAATGGCTTCTGAACAGTATTGCCTACCCAATTTCAATTACAAGGCTTGAGTCAATTTGTAGTATGATATCCAGGTACTTCTCAAAGGTACCACATGCTGAGATCATCTCCCCAGATTTATGTTATCAAAATAACCATGGTGAGATTTGAAATTGGGTGTCTTGATTAGAATGCTAACTAATATTCTAATGATGCATCCATAAGCCCATTGGAGTTTACATAAACATAGCCCAATTCAGGCATGAGGCCATGGGACACTATCAGTTACTTCTGAGATCAGTATTCTAATCTATTCTCTATGATTAAGAGTTTTGCTAAACAGTGTTTTTTTTTAATCATTTCACTCCTAACAAAAGAATAAATGGGTTATTGTGTGTGAGCGAAAATTCGAAAAAGAAAACATTAGTAAGAAGAACAATAAAGGAACATGAATTAAGAAGATAAAAGATAACGATTGACATTGAATTTAAAGTTTTGAAGATCAAAGTTGTCTAGAAAGCAAAAAGCCAGAAGAGAGTTCCAGAAGCAAGAAGTGTGAGAGAAGAAACTGTTAGCATCAAACTTATATTTACATCTAGCGGCCATTTCAACTATGAAATGATGAAACCTTGCTGCCAATCTAGAACTGCACTTAAATTCATAAAGTCTATGCTCCAAAGAAGAAAGCTCATCAGAACAATTACCATAAAATATTTATAGAAAAGGCACAGGGAAGCTATGTTATGGAGATGGGAAAGTGACTGAAGCTGGAATGCCAGGTCAAGACCAAAAATATTGCAGATTCTTCTTTGGATTTTATCAAGAATATTTAAATACATAGCAAAAGCACCAGACCATATGTGACACTAATCATACTTATTATAAAACCCAGGTTGTGTGTGTGTGTGTGTGTGTGTGTGTGTGTGTGTGTGTGTGTGTGTGTGTGTGTGTGTGTGTGTGTCTGTACGTTTATACATTGGATTGGATTTCCTACATTTTTCAACCGATTTCAACAAATTGGAAAAACACAATTGTTTTTGCACAAAATCAATTTGAAAACATGATTAAGAGGCATCACGAGAATGAAAGGGGGACAACTGATATCAAGTTATATTATTATTATAAAACCCAGGTTGTTTGTGTGTGTGTGTGTGTGTGTTCGTTTATATATGGGATCGGATTTTCTACATTTTTCAACCGATTTCAACAAAACTTCACTTTTTTTTGGCAGGTAGTGTTTCTTATTGTCTTGCACACTTTTTTCTTTATTTTTACATTCAGAATGCTTTAAAAATTCCATTTAAAAGACAATTGTTTATAATAAAATTCTATTCAATCGGTAGACTCATAACGATTAAAAACAATGTTTTTGTTTGACAAACAAAACAAAAAAAAAACTAATTAAGACATGCGTGTCCGTCAACCTTAAACAATAATCTTTGTCAATTTTATTTTTTAGTCTTTATGATGTTCGATACTTGATCTATCTCTTACTGTTACATCCCCGGGCAACGCCGGGCTTTACTGCTAGTATTCAATATTGAAAAGAAAAAAAAAAGTCTTCCACTTAGAGAAATTAGTATCAAGAAAAAAGCTAGTAAAAAGTTCTTTTGTATCATTCTGTTGTTTGAAGGTAAGTGATTGAATTGTTTTAATGTTTAAGTAAACTTCAAGACATCATTTCATGATTCTCTGAGAAATAATAAGAAAACTATGGATAATTCAGTTTATTCCAAATATGTTTTCATTAAGCCACTGTTAAACAGTTAATTTATAGTTATTTACATAGGTTAGTTATGGTACAAGGCCACCAGTATTGAGTTATTTAAAGTGAAAACAAATTTTTTTTAATGAATATTGCATTAACAAATTTTTTTGATAACACTGATTTTTCCTGATACAAGTCTGACTATTTAACCCATAGTTGGGGTAGGGGAGAAAGATACATGCCTATCCCAAAGGTATTTGTGCATAAATGAATGTAATGAACTTGACTGGAATTCACACACAGATCTCCAATTTCTCATTTCAAGTCACTGTCCATTACACCACTCATACATCCATGTAGTGAGGGTCAGACTCATTAGCAATGATCTGTGTATCAAGCTTGTTAGTCTTGCACCATGATGAAGTGCTTCTTAAAGTTGTTTTATATACTGAATATATTTTTAGTTTCTCAGACCTTGAAATATAATTTTAAAATGTTCATGTTTTTAATCTCTTTGATAATAAAACAATTACACACTAACCTGCTTCATAGCTGCTGTATTTTAATTTAACAAAATAAATTGTTTTTAATGCTCTAATAATATCATCAATAATGATGATGATGATGATGATTGTAAGGACTTGCAATCCCACTAAGGAATGCGGGGATCAAGATGGATCCAGTGGGCAGTTTAAATAAATGAGTTAATTTTACGACGTGTTGTGTCATCTTTGTGTTGCTTCAACTTTTCGGCAGCTAGTATCATATAAATAAGCTTTCCACCTTAAGTCCAGTGGAACAATGCAATTCATTAAATTCCAATTTTGTTTTAAATACAATAATTCGAATGCTTATCATCCAGTTAAAAAGCCTGACTCGTTAATAAAAGATATTATTTTTTCAAAAATGAATTCTATAAAACAATCAAATCTAAAAAAAAATGTAATATAAAAGATTTTCCTTTTGTTTTTTTTTGTTTTTTTTTTTTAAAATAATATCTTTTATTAACGAGTCAGGCTTTACTGGGTAATAAGGATTCGAAATGTCGTATTATAATTAAAACAAAATTGTAATTTGATGAAGGCTCTGTAATTGCATCATAAACAATTTATTTTAATAAAACAAGTTACTGCAATAAATGTCTACAACAAAAGCATTAATACATGAAGATGAAATAGAATAAAGGGAAATAAGTTGGTACAAAAATGATTAAAGGGAAATAATTCTGTATTTGTTTACACCATCAAGGAGATATTCAACAATTCACGATCAACTTATTCATTTTCTTCGCTCCTCTTTGTTTTGCAGATTTTTAACATTTTAATATTGAATAGCGCATTTTAAAACAATCAACATTTTATTTTGTTGCTTAAGCAATAAAATATTAAGGAAATGTTAACGAAAAAATAAACACGCACTTTAACTCATCAACCAGGGAACGCACACTGCATTTTTTTTAGAAGAACTATTTATAAAATAAATCAAACAAAATAAAGTCAACAGATATACATTTTTCAGTACCAGGAAGCAAAAAAATAAAAAATAAAATAAAAAATAAAAAAAATAATCGAATAAAAATAAAACATTTTTCAAACAAAACAAAAATAAATCCTAAATTCGAAACAAAATTAATAATGAATACTACACAAGTGTTTTTTTTTTTTTTACTTCTCTTGAAATTTAGTGTACACAAAGTTTTTCATAAAACATATTTTTTGCGCCAATTGAATAAAATTCACCTGCTTAATTTAGTAATATTTCTACCAAAGATCTTTTAGCTGAAATAGTAAATTTCGACTTGAGAAAATTTCTTTTTCATCCGTTTTCCTTACGCTGCCGACAGTCACCATCTTGGTTTTTGTTACCATAGCAACAAGAGCAAAACAGGCTCATTTTCTAAGAAGTGCCGTGTGAAAAAAAAGTTCTTTTTTTCTGCTAAAAAATGTCTAGTGTAGGTTAAATTATAATACGCCTGAAATTATTCACAACAATAGAATTGAAGTGGAAAGATCGGCGTCAAATCTCATATTGTCTTCCTTCACCAGATAATTATGTTATTCAATAACATAATTGTTAGTTACATATTGTAATTGTCAAATCAAATGACATATTCTTCTTTTGGAAGATTTTTAAAGTGATTTTTTTCAATATATTTTTTTATTATATTTATTTTGTTTTTAAATTACAAGCCGCATGCCAAAAAGCGGGAAATTATCCTCTCAAGGCAAACAAAAACTTAAAAACAGTTTGATAGATTTTTCTTTTTTTTTTTTTTTTTTTTTTTCGAAACAAAACTGATCACCCTGGAAAACGCAAATTGATTTACAAAAATTTAGGTATTGTCACGCACTATCTAAAAAATAAAAAAACAAAAAAGAAAGAGAAAAATTCATTTTAATTTTAAAATGCTTTCTTTTAACTAAATATCAGTTCTATTTGAAAGATAATGGCCTTAAAAGAAAATATTTTTGGTATGGATATCTAAAAAGGAAAAAAAAATTGAATTACCAACTTCAACTACTTTTCCCTATCGAAAGAAAGAGTAATATGATAATTCCATAACTCTTAAATTAAGAACAATTTAAAAACGAAACATACATACATACATTGGGTGCAATTATGACAACAAACAGGCACGAAAATAATAAAAACAAAATCTAAGAGCAATGAATAAAAAAAACTGCTACTAATGTGGTATAAAAACTAAAATTATTAATTCTACTAAATTTCTTAAAATCTTATAGAATAAAAAAATATATTCTTAAATTGTTAGTTATATAAGGTTAAAGATAATTTATTTTTAAACATAAATACCAATTCCTTTATTATTGCACTACTGGTGTTCTGTATTCCTTTAATTTTATTTTTAATTTTTCGCGCGCTTTTTAAGTCAGGAATGACATTATACATTTTTATTTTTATTTTTGACCCCTGAGCCCACTAGCTACTTTGCGTAAATAAAGGTTATTTTCATTAGGTTTTAAGTAAAAATTCAAAACCCAGTTGTGGTGATGATCATCACACATATACATACATACATACATACATACATACATACATACTTACGCAAATTCAAATTATACAACAACAAGCATTCATTGGATAATAAATCAACACTACTGTGTAATGGACAATTTATAAATCGCAGCTACGCGACAATTTTATAATCGCTATATTTTCGTGTAGTCGATTTCGTGCACTTCTGGGGAGACCTAAGAAAGTCTCTGGGATCCGATTCTCCCATAGCTGCGATTTATAAATTATCCATTATACTACAGCAGTGTTGATTTATTATCCAATGAATGCTTATTGTATAATTTGAATTTGCGTAAGTATATATGTATGTGTGTGATGATGATCATCACACAGTTAAGTAATCCTTAAATTTACGAAATAATTAAAAAAAAAAAAACATATCTCTAAGATAAATATTGGACTTACATTTTTTGCCTATAATGACTGGTCAATGAGCTTGTGGGAATCACTTACATGTGCCACACCTCCGCTTTCTTTAATGTCATTGGTTAATAAATACATGATACTTATTATAGGACAATTTAACCATCGCAAGTAATTCAAATTTTTCTCTAAAATCACGGATTGGTCCATTTCCTGACCAATCGCGTATTTTAGTATCTTTTCTATATATTTTTGGCGCCAAGATATCCTGAGCCTATCCATCGTTATATAAAGACTCTCGCTGTTTGCCAACAGCCAGTAGCAGTTCAATTCTTGGAAAATAAGGCACAGCGCTATACTGACATTTTAATTCTTAATTATCACTCAATCGAGTAATCATACTAATTCCTATTGATATCACTCATGAACATTACATTTTTCTACACTGATAAAACACTGTGGAACTATTCTTTATTTAGCTAAGACTTCAATTGAACTTTGTAGTTAAATAACATTCAATATTGTATTCAACATTAATTAGCTAAACTTACCCTTTTTATTACGGAAAAAGGGAAGCAACTTTCTTTATACTATTGTTGATATTTTTGTATATCATTGTTAATACAATATTTTATTAATGTTCACTGAGCTTGATTATTTTTCTCTCGTGTTTGTTGTGCATTATTCATGTGGGGTGTTGTTTAACAAGAACACAGCCTTCCTTCTTTATTATATTCACGGTGACCCTAGCCAACAATACTTACAGCACCACTACAAGCTCAGACAAGTGAACATACCAACGTTTTAAAAATGTCTTAAAACTTTATTTATATACGGAAATGCTTTTCTTTTTAATTCAGTAAGGTTAGGATATTATCTTTCAAATAAAACCGAATTTTAAGTTCAAAGAAGGTATTTAAAATACTTTTTTCGTTTTTTTAGGAAGTCCGTGGTGTTACCTAGTTTGCTCGAACGATTTAGTAAAGAATTAAATTGCAAATCAAGATGAGGGTTTATTTTGTTCAGAAAGACGTGCAAAAATGGTTTGTAAATATTAAAGAAAAATATCGATAAACGAAGATATCTGTGTTTTAATGTAGTAAGAAATAGACTGATGACTGTTATTTTTCATCTCTTTTTATAATCAAAGATAACAAACTATATTTTCACTCAAGAATTTGATAAAAACATATATAAAAAAATAATTTTTTTAAGATAAAATATCTGTACTCGGACTTTATGTAAAATTCGTGGAAAATTTGACAGTTCAGGCGAAAGATGTTATTTTGTTACTTAGTTACAGGGGCCACGTGACAAGGGATGGATAGATGTACGTCCTCATTCGTCGTAAAAACATCACATCAAGATTACTGACCCTACATTCAGTGGCCTGGAAATGCATACTGACCGGATGAGTTTTCGAAATTTTTTATCTCATTTTGAGAATTGTGTAGCTGATATGACCAACGATGCTGAACTTCTTAAAATGTTCGCTCTCTGGGAGGCCCTTACTGCTGGTTAACCATCTTGTAGCGGACCCCTTGAAGACGAGGCGATATGAAACCACGGCCCGAGCGCCCCCGTATCGTAGGTGATGAGGTCACAAAGGGCCCGCTAACATTTTTCGTATTAAGACATGAGATCTAACGAGGTGAAACAAAATGAACAACAGAATGAGGATATGTATGATTAATGCTAAGTTTATTATATAAAGAAGAAACCAGTGGGGTATATTGGTCTGGTAATGGTGATCGGACTGGTCGTGTCGATGGTTGGTCGTTGAGATCGACGACGGGATACTGAAGTGCGTTCGTTCCGGTCGTGTCGACGGTTGGAGTCGAGGTTCAGACGCTCCGGTCGTGTCGACGGTTGGAGTCGAGGTGCAGATGTTTCGGTCGTGTCGACGGTTGGACGTTGCAGTGCAGGCATTTCTTGTCGAGTTTGGTGTCAAAAACCTCCCGTAGTAATTACAACTGGGAAAGGTTGCTTGGTCGTCGTAGATGATCGCTGCTGATCGTCGCAGATGATCGCTTGCTGGTCAGTTGGTCTGGTTTCCAACTGGACGTGTTGGGAAGGAACGAGGAGCTGGCGTTGCGATGTTGTTGGGAATATCGAATATCCGGTGCTAGCGTTGCGTGTCTGCTGGTCGAGTCCGTTATCGAAATCTCCCATATCCGTAGTGTACGGGGAAGGTTACGGACGACGTGCGGGTAGCCAGTAGGGACGGAATGCCGAGAGTCGAACATGAGCAAGGAGCCGGAAGTAAAGAGGCGAAGTAAAGAGAGAAAGAAAGGGCACGTTTAGAGGTGCGTAGTCACGGCCTCGATTCAACTCCACCTGAAGGGATTCTACCTTTCGTGTTAATTCTGCATTCCGTACTTATTCTGGGAGTCAACTAACCTCCCACCTGTCTTATGTGTAACCTTTAGTAGAAATGGTGAAATTGTTTCTGTCAATTGTTTGTTGGACACTGGTAGGATGCGGACTTATCTGCCCAGTGAAGTTTTGAAGTTTCCTGGCAGCTTGGAATCCATAGGGCTTGATTGTAAATTCAAATTATCAACACTCCTTGGAGACTGTGTTAAGCGCTTCAAGGAGATACTCCTGGAAATTAATGTTGGATTCAATCGTCCACTCTCACGCCCAGTGTTGGTGGATAATAGCATTAATTTATCAGAACACATCGACAAACTGAACTCCCTTTTGGACGAATTTCAGCGTATTAAATGTCCTCTTGCTGGCAGGTTTGACAGAGGCGCCAATTTTATTCCAATTAATGGATTAATTGAACTAGATTTAATTCAACACCTGGTGCTTCAGCAGGTGCCTTGTCTGCATGGGTCGGCGTTTTCGAACCCATTGGGGTTTGTTACGTTTTGAGAGGTGACAAGATTTCACTCACCTGGACACTCTCAGGACGAGAACTGTAAATGCCTTGCGTTTGATTCCGCGCTTGCATCCACTGATGAAGTTAAAACCTCGAACCTGTGTTTTTGTGCTGGAGTCCAGGAGCACATATGAAGACTCTCTAAGCGATTTCTTCCTCGACAATGATGTACAAAGGGGATTAGAAAGAATGTTCAGTGTAGAGTCGCTAGGGATAAAGGAACAAGAGATTTCATAACAATGACGAGCAGATGGTTGCGCTCTTCAGACAATCTATCACATTTAAGGACAATAAGTATTATATACAATTACCTTAGGAGTCCGACAAGATATCTTGTGTCCCTTCTAACCATTCGCGCCTTAGACAATGTGGCACGGAGACTGGAACGCTATGGGCTTTATCGGAACTATTTGAAGATTTTCCGTCAGCAGGAACGTGACGGAATAATAGAGGAGATTTTTGTTTTCCCTCAGCGGATTAAGGAATATATTTGGATTCCTATCAGACCTGTCCTGAAGGCAGATCCTACATCCACCACTAAAATTTTGACCAGTTTTCAACTGCAGTCACAAGACAGGTAACTCACCTTCCCTTAATGAGGCTGGCTACCAGGGAGAGAACCTTACGAGTGATCTATTAGAATTAATGCTCTCCTTTCGAGCGAATAATCACGTTGTGCTGGCAGATATCAGGGAAGCCTTCCTAAAGATCCGCGTGGAGTTGGAGGCCGATAAGAATAGGTTCTACTTCTTCCTGAAGAACAGGGGTAGCCTGATTTGCTTCAGGTATGCCACAGTTATTTTAGTGTTCACCTCAAGCCGCTTTATATTGAATTGTGTTCTCCGACACCACGATGCTCAGTTTCCTTTGGATCTTTGTAGACGTATGGGGAATCGGTTCTACGTGGGCAATCTGGTGATGACCAGTGATAGTCCAGATGAGCTATGCTGTTTATTTGCTCTCTCCAGGGAACGATTGCAACAGGGAGGTTTCGAGCTGCAGTCTTGCAGCTCTAACTGTGCGAAGATTAGGAACAAAATGGAGGAGGATGGTACCCTGAGCAATCATGGGGCTGATTGGGAAAGGGTATTTGGGTATCGATACAGTCCTCTCACTGATACACAATGTATCGCCCCCATAAATTGCGACCCTAATGCTTCCACAAATAGGCAAATTCACGCGGAAGCAGCAAGTGTCTTTGACCCTTTGTTATTATATTTGCCTGTTTCCTTGCGAGATCGTATCCTTTCGAGTGAGCTATGGAAGAAGGACTTGGGATGGGACGAGCAGGTTCCGACCGAGTTTTCATCCACATGGAAGAGCCTTTTATCTGGCTTCTCCGTGTTGGCTACCATTTCTTTACCCCAAAAGGCTTTCAGTGAGAATGGGGCTGGCGACCTTGTTCCTCTTCTGCGATGCATTACCGGAGACGTATGTGTTCACTGCATATGTGGTGCAGAGTCGCCAGTTTTACCTGGTTTTTGCAAAGGTTAAGTTGGCACCCCTAAAAAGAAAGACTCTTCCCACCTTGGAACTTTTGGCAATTTTACTTGGCCCTGAAATGCTTACCCACTGTCTTGAAGAGTTGCGGAGGAATTTTACCAACTTGTATGCTATTCCGTCTGCCATCTACAGTGATAAGGCGAAGACCTTCCTGGGTAGTGCTCGGCTATTCAAGAAATTGCTGTGCCACTATTTCCAGCAGAAGTTTAGCCCCATTCCACTGTTCTCTCTCTGGGGTGGAGGCGTCTGGGAAAGAAGTACCCGGATGATCAAAAACTGATTCCAGAAGGTGGTTGACCGGGGTAAAATAGATTACTTCTCCCTACTAAACCTTATCTCTGACATTCAAATGGGTGTTAACAACCGCCCCCTAACTTATCGAGTAGAGAGAGAGAGAGAGAGAGAGAGAGAGAGAGATGGAAGCAATAACACCAAGCATGTATTTGCGGGCTAATGTGAATCCTGGGCTGCTGTTGACCTGAATGAGAAAGATTTTGCGCCCCCATTCCCCCCCCCCCCCAGCAGAGAGAGACTTAACAGAACCATGCAGATGCGGAACTGGTGCCTGGAGAAATTTAGGGCCCAATAGTATGACGAGTACCTGTTGAGCCTCGGGAGAGGCCCCAGGACCGATCTAGAGTGCCATTCCAGAACAGACTAAAGGTTGGGGGTGTGGTCAAGTCGAGAGCCCTCTTGAGCCCTGACCCTTTTGGGTTCTTGGTATCGTTTTGGAACTGATTGGCGGAAAGAATGGTGTTTCAGGGTACCAATATTAAACCTTGAACCACAGGTTTCCTCTTGAGTTGTCCCTATCAGTGGGCGGGGAAAATCAAGTCCCGGCCTTGCCCGCCTCTGCTGGTGCATCTGTAGACGATGTTGCTCCAATCCCTCCTCAAACTTCGTCTTCTAACGAAAAGGAGGTGGTTTGGCTCTGTTCGATATGCAATTCCCCGCAGGGTGATCAAGCTATGATTTGCTGTGACAGATGTGATAACTGGTGCCACTTCGGGTGTGTAAGCAAAAATGGTACTGTCCAGATTGCGTACCTTTGAGGCGACGGTTGGTCACGCTTAGTCTGCTCCCCGAATAAGTTAAGTGGGAACAATATAACAAAAAAAGAAACAAGCAAAAATAATTTTTACTAACATTGTCAATTGACACTGGTAAAGTACTGTACATACATCCCTATATTTACTTTGTTTCTATTCATTTTTGGAGGTGGGGGGGGTCTCGGGAATGTGTGGAGAATTTGACTGTTCAGGCAGGAGAAGAGCAATGTACCTACCTTGGGTTGTTTGATTCTTACTAACTAAAAGTTGTTATTTTGCTACAATTTTTTATAGTTACAGAAGTCACATGACTTTGTTAACACGTGATCTCTAAAGTAGTTATAGGGGAGAAGAAATGTATTCCCCCCTTTACATTCACTTTATGCAAGTAATCAGACTGTCACATTACGTCGCGGAAAGGAATTTTATTTCGCAACTTAAGTGCTATTGATTCTTTTTCTCGACCTGACCACTCTAAATTGCCTTAACCGGGTATTGAACTCACACTCTTTGGGTCCTGTCACTGGATCTAACCAATGCCTTTATCCACTGTGCCATGTGTCCTTGAGGTATGAATTTCTGGGTATTATAAACTTAATGTCTTCAGCACACATTTTTTTACCAGTGCTGATATTGCAATTTTTTGCTGTTATCATTACATGTTTTTACCAGAGCTCATATTGAAACTTTGTTGTCATCATTGCTTTTCTCTGGCACTCCTTATTACTGGTTCCCATATTGTACTTATTTCTATGCTTGGTCGGCTCAGGAGATTTTTGTGGCCTAGCATATGTGCTGATTCCTTAAGTTTACGAATTTTCCAATGGTGTTCCTTGTCTAAGATCTCAACATGATCCCACAGAGGGCGGTGATCTCCCTTCTCTCTCCATATGTGGTCAGCCACGCCTGATTTTTCTACTTCCCCTCGTGTTACAGCTTTCTGGTGTTCTTGAAGCCTTACCTTGAGGGGGCGGCCTGTCTCTCCTGTATAATCCTTTCCGCAGCTGTAATGCGACTGTAGTGATGGACAAATCAGATTATACAAGAAAACTGGAAGACCTCATTAGCAATGAAACGAAACGTTGTGATAAATATGGCGACAATAATGTAAATAATGTACATAATACCTCATCTCAGTAAAAATTATTTAAAGAAATGTCCTAAAATTACCACTAAAATATTGTTCACAACACGAATGACTTTAGGAATAAATACAAGCAGTAAACACCCAAAATATTAAACTTTAATTTAAATGAACCAAAACGATAAATTATATCTAAAATTAACAGAAACTTTTGATTTTTCAAAATTTCAAGTTAGTTCTTCTGCAAATAAAACTACTTTATTTGAACATCCGATGGAAACTGATTTTAATATAGTTTATGAAAAGATGCACATTAACTATTTGTCAAAGTAAAAAATGAAAAAGTATTTTAAAATATAATGAGCATATTCGTACCTCTTTGTATCCATAAACGTATAACAAAAATCGTTATACGTCTTATGTAAGAAACATAACTCTGATAGTTTTTATTTAATTATCTCCCTTGTGTATAGAGACATTGAAGTTCATTTTCTTTGTTTTTGATTTTTCTTAACCCAATTAAAAAAGTCTAAATAAATATATATATATATATATATATATATATATATATATATATATATATATATATAATTTTTCACTATTAACCTTGTTGCATAAGATATTTACCGTTTTATTCAATTAGCTTTTCAAGTAAATTCATTATTCTGTCCCAGAGAATATTTTGGCTATCATAACAAAGAACAGTTTTTGCAGTCTTTCAGTGAATGTCTGATGATCCTCATCTTCACACACATACACCCTGTCACGTGGTGCAATCACACGCATAAAAAAATACACACATTGTAGCCAACTCTATAAATGTCTTCTTTTTTTTTTCTTTCTTTTTTTTTTTTTACTCTTCTCAGCTATATCAAATCAAAGCATTACTTGATAAAAATGACATGGGTAGACGATTTCTTTCCGTACAATCAGATGCTGACTTAAGACAAGTACTGTTGAGTTCTTATTTGGACCGATTTAAGGCAGCAATCGGTGAAAAACGTTCAAAATTGGCCAATCGGAAGGGTGTCGTCTTCTATCAAGAAAATGCTAGACATCACGTTTCTTTTCAGACTCGACAGAATACATACGTACTGATAGAGTTTGGCTGGAATGTTCTATTTCATCCACTGTAATCACCTTCAGATTACCACTTATTTTGTTCCCCACAAAATTCTCTTAATGGGAAAAAATTCTCTGGAGGTCTGTAAAAACCACGTAGCCTAGTTCATCAGCCAGAAAGAAGTCAACTTCTAGGAGGTTAAAATCAGGAATCAGCCTCAAAGATTTTGAAAGGTAGTGGAACAAAACAACATATGTGGTTGATAAATCAATGTGCAAATATCAAAATATTGTCATTGAAATTCGCTTAGAAAATGCTACGCTCTTTTGTTCCAACCCAATAGTTAATCATTTCTTCTCCTTTTCCTTCTCTAACTTGTCTTTTTTCTTCGTTTTTTTTAATCATTTCACGCCAAGCAAAGCGATTATGCCACTCGAACGCAGGCAGTTAGAGGGAGTGAAAGCGAAAAGAGAATGAAAAAACTGAGAATGAGGAAAAGACAAACTGAGATTGAGGAAAAGACAAAAAAGGAACATTGTTCAAGAATATGGCGATTGACGTTGCATTTAACTAAAAAGAACAGAAACTATTAAAATAAAAGAGGCAGTTGCATCTAGCTAGTTCAACAGTAAAACAGCGAGACCTAGTTACCAATCTAGTAGCACGCTTGAATACATGTAGGCGAGGCATCGGGGAAAAATGCTCGTCAAAGCAGTTGCCATGAAAATCTTTGTAGAAAAGACAGCGGGAGGTCACGTCCCGTGGGTGAAAAAGTAACTGAAGTCGAGATGCCAGGTCAGGATCGTATACATTACAGACCCTTTTTTGGATTTTATCAAGAATCTCGAGATATACAGCGGGAGCACCAGACAAAAAACGTTTTTTTTTTTTTTTTTTTTTTCTGGCATGACACAGTGAACTAGCTTTCCTTGCAGTAGACGAAGCAATTGATTCGATATAGTCACACTACATCATGTCAGGAGAAAACATGAGCCCAAGAAGATACAGTGTGTTGTTCTCCTAGAGTCTAGCATCAGCCATAATGATGTCAGGCAGAAAAGGTTCTCTGTAGTGATTAAATGAAAGCTATTTTGTAGGTGTTCAAATTTATAAGCATTTCTTGCCCCAGAAGCTAGAAGTTTTAAATCTTTAAATGTACCTTGCTTCTTATGCTTACATGAGAAACTAGAAATTATCTGATTTGCTGACAAAAATCTCTATTAAATCAAAGAAGTGACGATAGTTTTTATCTTATCTGATTAGGGATCATTTTCAAGAGCCGTTGTTAGGTTTACTTCGTCAGATCTGTCGGATTTGCTACTAAGACAGGAGTAAATGATTGTATCATTTGCATAAATACCTAACTGAGAACTGATATCATCGGGAAGATCACTGAAGGTCTGAAACAACGTAGGTCTCAGGATAGAGCCTTCGCTCGCGTTCCTTTCTAAGTTTATCATCATTTTCATTTGTGTATTTTATGTTGTAAAAATTATGTCCACCGATAATAAATCCTGATAGGCCTTCCTGTTCTCCTATGCTCGAGTTGCTATATAGGTTGATTAGATTAGATAGCTCCACTTTTTCGCGGGAAAACAGCATAGCTTATTGAAAAAAGGCCACAAACTTAATAAAAATAAAGTTTCATCGTCAAAATGTTTATGTTATTATTAAGATGAAAGACCAAAGAAATTTTGATTATTTTTTTATTTTTTTTTTTAATCTTTTCTAACACGTTCGAAATTTTGGTTAAAATCTTGTTTTATTTACACTTTTTTGCGCTTTTTTCTGTTGAAAACACATTGATTTGGAAATTCTTGTAAAAATCAAATAATTGTCCGATTTTAATGACATTTTCAGGACTTATTCACAAATGAATGAAATTATTTTGAATTTTATAAGAAAATTTTGTGGATATATATATATATAAAGAAAGAACAGTAAGATATATAATCCGGTGTTCTTATAGATATTTTTATTTTTACAAAATAGTGCTCAATGTAAATTTACAGAGCATTAATATTATAAATTAATTGATTTAAAATATATTTTTTTTTTTTACACAGTTCTAACCATGTTTCAAACATTTTTGAAACATGGTTAGAACTGTGTAGCGAAAAAAACATATTTTAAATCAATTAATTTATATTATATATATATATATATATATATATATATATATATATATACATATGTTACCCCACATCCCACTTACTTAATTTCATGAAATTTCGCAAAATACCTTTCTATTTCCTGATTTTCTTTTTTATTCATTAAAATAGGCGTCCTTGGAGAATGTAAATCACATAATTTTTTTCAAATTTTCACTATTCTAACTGAAAATCTGCTCTGAATGCAATAAAACTATGACATTATTTAATTAGAAAAGCTTTTAATTGCTTTTGCAAATAACTTATATTAACGACACTATCGTCTGAAGAAATAATATTTTTCCAATGAATAATGAATTTCTACAAGAATTTTTCATTTTTTAAAAATTTTTAGTTATAATAATTCATAATAGTCTAAAAATCGTGTAAAATTCTCTATTGGGCTATTTTCTGTAATAATTAAGTGGGAACGAAATTTATGAATCTTATACTGAAAAAATTAATAAACACAGTTCCACTATTCTATTTTTAAAATATTTTATTTATTTTTTTACTTA